GTCCATCAGGACCAAAACCTCACGCCATAAAAACAGTTTCTTCCCATCTGCTGCTGGCCTGTTAAACAAGGCCAAGGGCTAACACTGTTTTTAACATTTGATCTACATAACGACACGTTGCTGATATTAACTATGTTTCCCTATTTGTATTTTTAAATTATATCTTAAAGCTATTTTATATTCGATATTTATTTAATTTTATATAATTCAGCCCCTTAGTGTTAGACTTTTAACCCTTATTATAGTAAGACTTGTTTAAAACTTATTTAAGATTTTAGATTCCTATATGTTGAATGTATGCACCATCCTGCCAAAGTAAATTCCGTGTCGGTGTGAACTTACATGGCGAATAAAACCCTTTCTGATTCTGATTCTGATTATAAATGTTTTGCGCTTACTCTCCAACGCACCGGTATGCTGAATTAGTAACGTAATCGGCATATTTTGTTTACGTGACAAACCTTACTATTTGGATAAGCCCATGATCACGTCGGGGGTCGATAAAGCAGACAACTACTTTCCGGTGGCGAGATGTTAACTACCGCGCCTGGCATGCAGGGGTTCGTGAGTTCAATCCCGACCCTGACGATGCCTGCTGCTGTATATTTGGAGTTTGCATGTCCCCTCTCTTCCTGCAGTTGCGTGGATTTTTTTTCCCAGGTCCACCCGTTTCTTCCTCCACATTTAGAATCAACATCATGCGTTTACATACTTTGGCTGCTATGAACTTTGACGTGATAAGCAACTTAATTGAACTATCATTTGTGATAGCCAGGTCGCTTCTGAAAAATAGCTATATATGTAAGTGGGTCTTACCTGGGAAATAAAGTAAAATAGTTGTTATTTGTATTTGTCCTGGGAATGTGGAAAATCCACTGCTGGTTAAGAATAAAGTCAAGTTAATTTTTATTTGCTCAAACACGTGACGCCTCTGGCACAAATCTGGCACTCAGAGCGCCACCAAATTCCGGTTATAGGAGACTTAAAGTTATCAAGCCCAGACTGAAAAAAACACACTTATTCTTACGGAATATCAATGGCCAGCTTGACAACGTATGCCCCATCAATCACAGTGCCTTGTAATGTGACAGCTGGCTATAAATACGGTCCTTCGAAGCAAGCCACGCTGTGCTTATATCCAAAGCAGTGTGCTTATATTAGAAGTTTTGTTTTCCCTCCTTCCCTGCTCCCCACCCGTGTAATGTAGTCACGTGTTGCTTCATGAGTACTCTGCTTATGCAAGGTCTGCTTATATTCAGATTGTGCTGGATAATCTTACAACGGAAACAATCTAAAACAAAAGCGCTCTCTTACCGACCTCTGGATGTATCATGTTTCATCTATTTATGTGTGTATCATTCCCGTCCCCAAGATCTTGACGAGATGCAGCACTGACACCTGATGTCAATCCATATATCATCATCATCAGCAGCAGCATCATCCGCAGCCATGGTCAATCCACTGCTGGATGAAGACTTCATCGATAGCGTGGCCATCTATCGCGATCTGACGATGCCAAAATCCATCTCGCTCCTGCACAAGACTTCATCTCATTGCTCCATCTCCTGCTGGCGGTCCGTCGGGACACTTTCTCTGCTTCACGTAGTACTCTTCACTCTTACGATAGAGGATACACGTGCGTTGCATTCTACCAGGATTTTTATTATTAGGTGATGCCGCTGCCGCATTGGTAGTGTCAATAAAGCTGTGGCCTTAAGAAGTATAATATATATTATATTCTTGGTTCTTTCGGTAAAGTCACGTTGAAGGGAAACAATAAAATAATAATATATATAACAATAAAATTCTCACGACGTTTCAACTGCAACACAAGCAGTCATCATCAGGTGTGAAAACCAACGGCAAGTATAATATACGTCATGGCGTTTCGACCAATGTCCCTTCTTCATTGCATATCGAAAATTTACATATCCCACGGCTGATTATAATATCATCTGTGACTTTGAGTGTGCGTATGTTTCAGGAGAGCTTTCAACAGCAACTTATGACCACGATCATTGCAATGCACAACATCCTTGCAATTGTACATGGAAACAATTATATTAAAAGGAAAAATATGTTTTATTTTTTTATTTTACCAGGTAAAGCTATGCAGCTCTTTCTCAGAAGTGACCTGGCTTTCACAAATGAGGGCTCAACGAAGTGGGCTTATCATGACGTGGACATTTATAGCAGCCAAATACTCTAAACGCGTGGTGATGTCGATTATAAATGTGGAAGGAAAAAATCGGAGGACCTGGAGAAAAATCCACGCGACCACTGGGAGAGAGAGACGCGCAAACTCCAAATATACAACAGGCATCGTCAGGGCCAGGATTGAACCCACGGCCTCCTGCCCACCAGGCGAGGTAGTTACTATCTCGCATTACTTAAAACATTACTTAAAACGTCACTTTCTCACCAGGACTAAAGCAGGAGGTTATTTTTCCCCAATTACATTCCTTAAGTAATTATCAAATAGTGCAAGTCAAGATCTATAAGTATCTTGGGGTCCTCCTGGATTCAAAACTGATTTTTTTAAGATCACATTAATTATACTGGTAAAAAGACAAAAAAATTGGTTTTCTGTATCGACACAAGCACTGCTTCCCCCCAGTGTTCCGTTTGGAATTGATAAAAGCTACCATACTGCCTCTACTTGACTACTGTGACATCGTGTATAAATCAGCCCCAAGTACTGTGCTGAAGAAGCTTGACTCAATTTATCACTCGGCCTTAAGATTTACATTGAACTGCCCATATAGGACTCACCACTGTGATCTCTACATTGGGTCAAACTTAACATCTCTTAATGTTCGACGGCTTGTGCACCAGATCTTATTTATTCACGATCTACTTACAAAAAAATCCGCAGACTACCTGCTGGATCTCCGCTCTGTTTCAAAGAACAAATTTGACCTCAGGCCTTCGCTCATTTACCAGCTTCCCATTCCCTACAAAAACTGGAGGAAGAGCCTTTGCTATTGATGCCTCCAGGGTCTGGAATGCTATTGCCAATAAACTGCAACTTGAATCGCTACCAATGAGATCTTCTCTCAAAACTGCACTAGAGGAGTTGTACAACCCTAGCTGCCACTGCTATTCATTGGCGTAAAATAAAATGTTTCGCTCCGGATGACGCTGCAAAGTATTATCTGTATTTTGATTTAGCGTGCTGATCTTAAAGGTGCATTGAAAAATTTGATACTCCGACTGATGCTTATGTTCTTGTGGAGTAACTCATGCAGCCAGTTATGGCTCTAGGATTTGGTGTTACATGTTATTTATGTAGTTTATTGTAAAAATTCGGTCACAGTCCCTATGATCACTGTTACGTTGCAATTATGGCTTTATTTTTTGGTGATTTCGAAAACGTTTTTTGGTTTGGACATGTTTGTTTTGTTGTAGTACGGAGTTAGACTGATGGCCTTAATCTAAGTTTTCTTGTGGTTGTTGTTGTTGTTTGACTTGCATCCCACTGGGATTTTTTTCACACAGCGTTGGTGTACGGTGCTTTTTTCAGGAATATTTTGCTGGGTTTTTTTTCATGAATTTTCTGTTTGCACAATGACATAGTCACTTTAAGATGTTTTCTTGTTCGTGTTTTTGTTTGTTGTGGTTGCACCCGATTCAAGAACCGAATGGCTCACAGGGCTATACCAAAATAAACTGAAACTTAACAGCAACGAATAGGGTGGGAGAGTGGTGGTGCAGTGGTTAGTGTGCACTGCGCTACGAACCCAGCCAATTGAGTTCCATTGCCAAAACCACGACTCATATCGGTGGCGAGTAATATCTTGAGCCCGTATCTGAACCTGTCGCTGGGCTCATGAAGTGTGGTCAGATAACCTCCATGCCTCCCAAGGCATGGAGCGGCCTTCATCCAGCAGTGGATTGATAAAGGTATATAAATGATGAGCATGGATGCACGTTTCATCACTGCAATTTGCCATGCCTTACCTGGTAAAATACAAACTAGTTTAATACTGGCGAAACGTCGTAAATGTCGCGGGTTTACTCTCCAACACGCCGGTGGTGCTGGACTAGTAACGAATTGGCCACGTTCTGTTTACTAACAAACATTACTAATTGGCTGTGTCGGGTGGTGGCGGGTTTAGCGACACATTTATATTTACGCGATCTAACCCACAAAAATATATTACGGAAAACTGGTTTATAGTTCAGTTTAAGTTGGTTGAGAGTAGTGCGCGCGATATTCGCGTTGCGGTTGACAGAGCAGAAAATGTACCACGATTATTACGATTCTTCATTTCACCATGTAAAGCCCCACTGAGCTCTATTTCAGAAGCGAGCTGGCCACAAACGAGAACACTCCACGATAGCGGCCTATCGTCACCACGTGGAAACTCATAGCAAGCAGCCAAATCATCTCAAGGCGTGATGTTCATTCTAAACGTGGAGGGTGGGTGGGGGGGTCCGGTGGACCATTCAAACTCCAATCAGCAGGATCGGGCTTGAAAGCCACGACCTCCTGCAAACCAGGCGAGGGAGCTAACATCCTGCCACCCGGCGACGCGGCTGTAAATTCCACACGGGCACCGTAACCGGAACACAACTCGCACGCCGCACCCCGCTGGTCCGCACGCGGCCGCGGGGTTCGCGTCGTGGTTTTCCGCACCCCACGAATCGGGATTCGCATTTCAAGCGCCGAGCCTCGGGCGCGCTCTCTCGTTACCGTCGCACAGAAATTGTGGAAAGTCGCTCTCGCTCGCGGCAAACCGCGTCGCTGCCACCGTTGATGTATTTACCCATCTTTCTATCTAGGAGGCATTGTTATTGTCGAGATGCTGCAGTTTAGACAACTTTGTCCGAACGCGAAATTCTACAAACGTCACGCGCGTACATCGCAAACCAGTCGCTATCATTTCTCGCGAGCGGAATTGTTTTTTTTTCTTGAGCCCAGGTTCCGGAAAAAAACACCGCACGATATTAAAAAAAACCACACCACAAACAGAACAAGTTGCGGGCTTTGCACTCACGCTCTGCTGACGATGAGCCTCAGGGCGTCCAAGTTCCCGTGATACGCAGCCCACAGAGTGGGCGTCATGCCGTCCTCGTCCGGCGCATTTAAATCCTTTTTCGTCGCTTCTCTCAGGAGGTCGAGGTAGCCATCCCTGGCGGCTTTGTGATACGTGTCGTTCATTCTTTACTCGTGCCAAATGTTGTTTGTTGTTGTTGTTGTCTTCCTCGTTGCGTCCGTTGCGTAAACAAGCCGTCGCGGGAGGCGTCTGTCGCGTCTTTCAGAGGCGACTCCTCGGTGGGGCATTGGTGCTGGAGGGGTTCATGACTCACAAAACCGCTCTCCGTCTCTCTCTCCCTGGGGCTCTCTCCGTCTCTCCGTGGGGCTCTCTCTCTGGGGCTCTCTCCGTCTCTCCCTGGGGCTCTCTCCGTCTCTGGGGCTCTCTCCGTCTCTCTCTCCCTGGGGCTGTCTCCGTCTCTCCCTGGGGCTCTCTCCGTCTCTCTCTCCCTGGGGCTCTCTCCGTCTCTGGGGCTCTCTCCGTCTCTCTCTCCCTGGGGCTGTCTCCGTCTCTCTCTCCCTGGGGCTCTCTCTGGGGCTCTCTCCGTCTCTCCCTGGGGCTCTCTCCGTCTCTCTCTGATGCTCTTGCCCACCGCCAGGGGACGGCTTGTGTATGTGTGTGTCTGTGTGTGTGTGAAACAAATAAAAAAATAATGCCATCTCGTTGTCACGTGGCGATTCGCCCCGACGTCCCACGGCGGCTATCCCGTGTCGTCTTCGTCGTCTTTATTCCCTGCCTGGGTGTGTGGGGGGGGGGGAGATCGAGGATTAGGAGAAACGGGCATTTAATGAAACAGCAAGAGCACCCAACCACACCACACCTCGTGTTCGTAGTTGAGTTTGTGTTGTGCTGTCTTTGTTGTTGTATTGAACTTGGGGCGACTTAGAGAAGAGATGGCACGGTTCTGGGAATGTCGGCAGCATCCATAGCGATGGCGTTGGCTTTGGGGAAGACTTCATCCAGCAGTGGATTGACCATGGCTGATGGTGAAGATGATGATGATGGCAGTGCGAGTGTTTCAAAATAAATTCATTAATGGGAAAAGCCATTTTTTTTATTAACAATGGTTATATTAACTATGCTTTATAGGGGTAGTGATAGGGGTAGCGATAGCGTAGGGGTAGTGATAGGGGTAGCGATAGCGTAGTGGTAGTGATAGGGGTAGTGATAGGGGGTAGTGACAGGGGTAGTGATAGGGGGTAGTGATAGCGGTTGTGATAGTGATAGGGGTAGCGATAGTGGTTGTGATAGGGATAGTGATAGGGGTAGTGATAGGGGTAGTGGTAGTGATAGGGGTAGCGATAACGGTTGTGATAGGGGTAGTGATAGGGGTAGCAATAGGGGTAGTGATAGGGGTAGCGATAGGGGTAGTGATAGCGGTTGTGATAGGGATAGTGATAGGGGTAGCGATAGGGGTAGCGATAGGGGTAGTGATAGCGGTTGTGATAGGGATAGTGATAGGGTTAGTGATAGGGATAGTGATAGGGGTAGTGATAGGGGTAGTGATAGGGATAGTGATAGGGGTAGCGACAGGGGTAGCGATAGGGGTAGTGATAGGGGTAGCGATAGGGGTAGTGATAGGGGTAGTGATAGGGGTAGTGATAGCGGTTGTGATAGGGGTAGTGATAGGGGTAGCGGTAGGGGTAGTGATAGCGGTTGTGATAGGGATAGTGATAGGGGTAGTGTAGGGGTAGCGATAGCGGTTGTGATAGGGATAGTGATAGGGGTAGCGATAGGGGTAGTGATAGCGGTTGTGATAGGGATAGTGATAGGGGTAGTGATATGGATAGTGATAGTGGTAGGGGTAGTGATAGGGATAGTGATAGGGGTAGCGATAGGGGTAGTGATAGGGGTAGCGATAGGGGTAGTGATAGCGGTTGTGATAGGGATAGTGATAGGGGTAGTGATAGGGATAGTGATAGGGGTAGTGATAGGGGTAGTGATAAGGATAGTGATAGGGGTAGCGATAGGGGTAGCGATAGGGGTAGTGATAGGGGTAGCGATAGGGGTAGTGATAGGGGTAGTGATAGGGGTAGTGATAGCGGTTGTGATAGGGGTAGTGATAGGGGTAGCTGTAGGGGTAGTGATAGCGGTTGTGATAGGGATAGTGATAGGGGTAGTGATAGGGGTAGTGTAGGGGTAGCGATAGCGGTTGTGATAGGGATAGTGATAGGGGTAGCGATAGGGGTAGTGATAGCGGTTGTGATAGGGATAGGGGTAGTGATAGGGTTAGTGATAGGGATAGTGATAGGGGTAGTGATAGGGGTAGTGATAGGGATAGTGATAGTGGTAGCGATAGGGGTAGCGATAGGGGTAGTGATAGGGGTAGCGATAGGGGTAGTGATAGGGGTAGTGATAGGGGTAGTGATAGCGGTTGTGATAGGGGTAGTGATAGGGGTAGCGGTAGGGGTAGTGATAGCGGTTGTGATAGGGATAGTGATAGGGGTAGTGTAGGGGTAGCGATAGCGGTTGTGATAGGGATAGTGATAGGGGTAGCGATAGGGGTAGTGATAGGGGTAGTGATAGGGATAGTGATAGGGGTAGCGATAGGGGTAGCGATAGGGGTAGTGAAAGGGGTAGCGATAGGGGTAGTGATAGGGGTAGTGATAGGGGTAGCGATAGCGGTTGTGATAGGGATAGTGATAGGGGTAGCGATAGGGGTAGTGATAGCGGTTGTGATAGGGATAGTGATAGGGGTAGTGATAGGGATAGTGATAGTGGTAGGGGTAGTGATAGGGATAGTGATAGGGGTAGCGATAGGGGTAGTGATAGGGGTAGCGATAGGGGTAGTGATAGCGGTTGTGATAGGGATAGTGATAGGGGTAGTGATAGGGATAGTGATAGGGGTAGTGATAGGGGTAGTGATAGTGATAGGGGTAGTGATAGGGGTAGCGATAGGGGTAGTGATAGGGGTAGCGATAGGGGTAGTGATAGGGGTAGTGATAGCGGTTGTGATAGGGGTAGTGATAGGGGTAGCGGTAGTGATAGCGGTTGTGATAGGGATAGTGATAGGGGTAGTGATAGGGGTAGTGTAGGGGTAGCGATAGCGGTTGTGATAGGGATAGTGATAGGGGTAGCGATAGGGGTAGTGATAGCGGTTGTGATAGGGATAGTGATAGGGGTAGTGATAGGGGTGGTGATAGGGGTAGTGATAGGGATAGTGATAGGGGTAGCGATAGGGGTAGTGATAGGGGTAGTGATAGGGGTAGCGATAGGGGTAGTGATAGTGGTAGTGATAGCGGTTGTGATAGGGGTAGTGATAGTGATAGGGGTAGTGTAGGGGTAGGGGTAGCGATAGCGGTTGTGATAGGGATAGTGATAGGGATAGTGATAGGGGTAGTGATAGCGGTTGTGATAGGGATAGTGATAGTGATAGGGGTAGTGATAGGGGTAGTGATATCGGTTGTGATAGGGGGTAGTGATAGGGGTAGTGATAGGGGTAGCGATAGAGGTTTTTATAGGGGTAGTGATAGGGGTAGTGATAGGGGTAGTGATAGGGGTAGCGATAGCGGTTGTGATAGGGGTAGTGATAGGGGTAGCGATAGGGGTAGTGATAGCGGTTGTGATAGGGGTAGCGGTAGGGGTCGCGATAGGGGTAGTGGTAGTGATAGGGGTAGTGATAGGGGTAGCGGTTGTGGTAGGGGTAGTGATAGGGGTAGTGATAGGGGGTAGTGGTAGTGATAGGGGTAGCGATAACGGTTGTGATAGGGGTAGTGATAGGGGTAGTGATAGGGGTAGTGATAGGGGTAGCGATAGGGGTAGTGATAGTGGTAGCGATAGGGGTAGGGGTAGTGATAGGGGTAGTGATAGCGGTTGTGATAGGGATAGTGATAGGGATAGTGATAGATTTAGTGATAGGGATAGTGATAGGGGTAGTGATAGGGGTAGTGATAGGGGTAGTGATAGGGGTAGCGATAGGGGTAGTGATAGGGGTAGTGATAGGGGTAGCGATAGGGGTAGTGATAGGGGTAGTGATAGGGGTAGTGATAGCGGTTGTGATAGGGGTAGTGATAGGGGTAGTGATAGGGGTAGTGTAGGGGTAGGGGTAGCGATAGCAGTTGTGATAGGGATAGTGATAGGGGTAGCGATAGGGGTAGTGATAGCGGTTGTGATAGGGATAGTGATAGGGGTAGTGATAGGGATAGTGATAGGGGTAGTGATAGGGGTAGTGATAGGGATAGTGATAGGGGTAGCGATAGGGGTAGCGATAGGGGTAGTGATAGGGGTAGCGATAGGGGTAGTGATAGGGGTAGTGATAGCGGTTGTGATAGGGTTAGTGATAGTGATAGGGGTAGTGTAGGGGTAGGGGTAGCGATATCGGTTGTGATAGGGATAGTGACAGGGATAGGGGTAGTGATAGGGGTAGTGATAGCGGTTGTGATAGGGGGTAGTGATAGGGGTAGCGGTAGGGGTAGTGATAGCGGTTGTGATAGGGGTAGTGATAGGGGTAGTGATAGGGGTAGCGATAGCGGTTGTGATAGGGGTAGTTATAGGGGTAGTGATAGGGGTAGCGATAGCGGTTGTGATAGGGGTAGTGATAGGGGTAGCGATAGGGGTAGTGATAGCGGTTGTGATAGGGGTAGTGGTAGGGGTCGCAATAGGGGTAGTGTTAGTGATAGGGGTAGTGGTTGTGGTAGGGGTAATGATAATGGTAGTGATAGGGGGTAGTGATAGGGGTAGTGATAGGGGTAGCGGTAGGGGTAGTGATAGGGGTAGTGATAGGGGTAGCGGTAGGGGTAGCGATAGGGGTAGTGAAGGGGTCGTGATAGGGGTAGCGGTAGGGGTAGTGATGGGTAGTGATAAGGGCAGGTGTAGTGATAGGGGGTAGTGATAGGGGGTAGTGATGGGTAGTGATAGGGGTAGAGGTTGGGGTGATGGAGGCTGGGGTAAGCCCGGCCCTATCTGGTTGGCGGGGGCTAGGCAGTAGCAGCAGCAGCGTGGTGCTGCTGCTGGGCTAGGAGAGACGTCTAGACGGGCTAGGCAATAGTAGCAGCAGGGTGGTGCTGCTGCTGGGCTAGGAGAGACGTCTAGACGGGGCTAGGCAGTAGTAGCAGCAGGGTGGTGCTGCAGCTGGGCTAGGAGAGACGTCTAGACGGGGCTAGGCAGTAGTAGCAGCAGGGTGGTGCTGCTGCTGGGCTAGGAGAGACGTCTAGACGGGGCTAGGCAGTAGTAGCAGCAGCGTGGTGCTGCAGCTGGGCTAGGAGAGACGTCTAGACGGGGCTAGGCAATAGTAGCAGCAGGGTGGTGCTGCTGCTGGGCTAGGAGAGACGTCTAGACGGGGCTAGGCAGTAGCAACATTAGATGCCTTGTTAAGATTCCCACACACCACAAGGAATCAAAGTCTCCATCAAGCACACACGACGTCCGCGGTGAACATGCAAACGGACTTTGATGATACTGTATATGCATTGTGGCCGACACCAGGGACAGCTCTATTTTTGGCCTCACCAGTGTCGGGCCAGAGAATGCCAAAATGCCGTGCTCGTGGCAAGTTTTGCCACAAGCACGTGGAGTGGCAAACGTCTCCCTTGAGGCAGCCCCCTCCAGCGTTTGACGACAGAAGTCCGCTCGCTGACCGCCGCGGTTTAGAGGTCAGGGGTCAGCACGCCCGGCTCGCTCTGCACAGATTCCGCCCCGGTCGACTGGAATTAGTCCACACGTTTTTTCGATAATCGATAATTACACTGGAGCAGCGGCGCGCGCGAGCACTTGCAAAAAAAAAGTTGGTGTGGGGTGGAGGGACTGCCCGCGTGCGGTTTGTACGGTCGTGCGTGTTGGCAAACCCGCGCCATTCATTGCTCCGAAACAAACAAACACAAACGCGCAATTCCCATCGACCTCGCAATCAAATCGCGCCGCCTGCTGCACTTCTGTGGACGGCTTCTTCTGTCAGCCCCCCAGGGCTGCTCGTCCCACGCTTGAGTCTTCAGGGGGGCGCTCTTCACTCACGTTTGGGGTGGGGGGGGGGGGCACGTTCGTCCATGAGACATCGTCAGTGTTGAGGGTCGCCACCCATTTGAAAGCATTGCGTGGGTCAGTTTAACACGCAGTAAGGGCTTTCGACACCGATATATGGGATTTTTGTTTTGGGGTTAGATTGCACCAATATAAATGTGGCTGCCGGATGATGAGGCTGGTTGCTGTTGTTGTTGTAATTACCGGCGAAACGTTGCAGTACTCGGACTGTAAATGTTGTCGTGGTTTTACTCTCCAACACACAGCACCGGTTAGTGCTGAACCAGTCGCGAATTGGCACGTCTTGTTTACGTGACAAACCTTACTCATTGCCTGTGTTGGGTGGTGGCGGATTTAACGACACATGTATATGTCCGCGATCTAACCCAAAAAGCAACCTCTGTTATGGAAACATTGGGGGTTTGACAGCAGCACGATGATGATGGGGGGGGGGGCGTGTCACTCCATGTTTCTGGTCGGGGGCCTGCACGTCAGGGGCCGCGCTAAAGGTCACCAGGGGCCGCGCTAAAGGTCACCAGGGGCCGCGCTAAAGGTCACCAGGGGCCGCGCTTTAGGTCACCAGCGGGTCCGCCAGCGGCTCTCGGGAGAGGCACTGTACAGGTTTATTATTGAGTCCTGCCCTCTGCTGGTGAGATGTGGGATGTCTTGAAACTCATTTTCAGCACTAAAAAAAAATATTTTACCAGGTAAGGCCACTGAGCATGGGCGAGTGAAAACTAAAAACGATTTAACTGGGCTATTTTTCATTTTGTTTTACCAGGCAAGGTCCCACTGACCTGTCTAGCTCTTTTTCAGAAGCGACCAGGCCATCATAAATAAATATTGATTACTGTGACATCGCATTTAAATAAATATTGATTACTGTGACATCCTATTTAAATAAATATTGATTACTGTGACATCGTATTTAAATCAGCCCCTGGACTGTGCTGAAGAAGCTTGACCCAATTTATCACTCGGCCTTAGGATTTGCATTGAACTGCCCATATGGGACCCACCACTACGACCTCTACATTGGATCAAACTGTGCATCAGATCTTATTTATTCACGATGTACTTACAAAGAAATCAGCAGACTACCTGCTGGATCTCCTCACTGTTTCGAAGAACAAATGTGACCTAAGGTCCTCGCTCATTTACCAGCTTCACATTCCTTATTGCCGCACAAATACTGGAGGAAGGGCCTTTGCTGTTGATGCCCCCAGGCTCTGGAATGCTATCGCCAATAAACTGCAACGTGGATCACTACCTGTGAGATCTTCACTCAAAACTACTCTTGAGGAGCTGTACACCCCTAGCTGCCACTGCTATGCAGAGTGGCCTGAAATCAAATGTATCGCTCTGGATGACCGCTGTAAAGTATGATGTTGAGTTTTTATTTTCGTGTGCTGATCTTTAAAGGTGTATTTTTAAAAAAAATTGTATACTCCTACTGATACTCCTGCTGTTATGGAGTGACTCATGCTGCCAGCTATGGCTGCAAAGTTTGGTCGTACATGTTATGTATATCGTTTATTGTTAAACTTGAATCACAGTTCCTATGATCACTGTTACATTGTTTTTATAGCTTTATTTGGGTGATTTCGAAAACGTATGGTTAAGCCATGTTTGTTTGTTGAAGTACAGAGTTAGCCTGATAACTTTAATCTAAATTGAAGAACCAAAGAAGATTAATCCTTGCAGTCACGAAAGCTTTAAATCGAAATTTAAATCGAAATGTCTTACGGTTGTTATTGTTTTACTTGCATCCCACTGGGATTTTTTGCACACAGCGTTGATATACGGTGCTTTTTTCTGGAGGACTTTGCTGTTTTTTCCTGGATTTTTCTGTTTGCTCGTCGTCACTTTAAGATGTTTCTTGTTCATGTTTTTGTTTGTTGCGGTTGCACCCGAGTCAAGAGCCGCATGGCTCACATAATACATGAAACTGAAACTGAAAGCTCAACTAAGTGACTATCATCATCACGTGGACATTTATAGCAGACAAATACTGTACACGCGTCGTGATATTGATTCTAAATGTGGAGGGAAAAACCGGAGGACCCAGAGAAAAATCCACGCGACCACGGGGAGAGAGAGACACGCAAACTCCAAATATACAGCAGGCGTCAATTTTGTCAATCCACCGCTGGATGAATGTCAAGCTGTGACGTGTTTGAGGTGTGGCGGATGTCTGGCCCCACAAATAGCGCAGAGAGACCAAGTGCCAGCGAGCTGGCACAGTAGGGGCACTGGTGGTGCATCTGCCAGTAGTCATCTCAGTCAACCCATGGCACCTGCTGGGTCTGTCCCGTGACCTCCTGCCAGCAGCGAGCTTTCGACACTTAACGTGACGGCCTCCAAGTGCACCTAGCCTGGCACAAGCACCGTGAGGACGTCACGGTCACTTAGCGGCGAATGGCGGTTGTTGTCGTGCTGGTTGATGAGAAGTTGGTGAATGGAGGGGGATGGGGGAGTGATTGAATAGTGAGGGTCTGTGATTGTTCAAGACCGCGTGAACGGTTTCCCACTGTAGCCGTAGACAAACCCACCTCGTCTTAGTGATTAGCCAACACTGACTGTTCACAACCGCACTTGAAACCCACCCAGTGCCCTCTATAAAGAATCGGCATGGTTGTGCAATTCAAACCTGCAGCTCGTGCAGCATTGCACAGCAACATTCGACTAATTGGCTTAGCAGATAAAAAATATATTTCGAGAAATAAGTCAACGCATTCAAGACAAATGTTTTGTTTGAAAAACTTTATTGACATATTTCGTCACGTACATGATTGCATTCTTAGTTGTGAATTTGTTAAAAAAAATGATTTTCAAAATTGCATAAGCTTGTGGTCGGAGCGTGGCTAAGCGCTGGGCTGAGCAGCATTTTCCTTCTTGTAGAGGCTGATGGCCAGGCTCGCCGTGGACACATCGATGCCCATCGCCACGCACGCGAGCGAGAATCCGATGGACGAGTTGAAGCCGCCCACGTTGACAAGGAACACCACGAAGCAGATCACGGTCAGGAGCACCATGAAGGCTGCGGAAGCAAAACCCGACACGAGCGACAGGGGCGTCACAGTCTGCACATTCCAAGTTCGTGTGACTCTATGTGTGTGTGTCGAACTTTTCTAGATTTGAAGCTTTCGTGACTGCAAGGATCCATCCTCTTTGGTTCTATTCGGTAAAGTCACGTAGGTAAAAATAAAATAACAAAAAATCACGACGTTTTGGCCACAACACAAGCGGCCTTCATCAGGTGAAGGGACTGGACTGTCCAGAGGACAGCGTTGTAGTGAAGACAGCAAGCCCAGGTCGCGTCCTTTAAGCTGTGTGGGAGGAAACAAAAAACGCCTTGACAAAGGAATTAGCATAACAATGATGTACTGGACCGGCACGGGGGGGGGGGGGGAGTTTACATTGGAAAGATGTTCTAAATCAAACTATTCCAAACTTTCACAGCAGCTTATTTCCCTTCACACCAACATTATGTAAACTCCCCCCCTCCCACCGTGCCGGTCCAGTACATCATTGTTATGCTAATTCCTTTGTCAAGGCGTTTGTTGTTTCCTCCCACACAGCTTAAAGGACGCGACCTGGGCTTGCTGTCTTCACTCCAACGCTGTCCTCTGGACAGTCCAGTCCCTTCACCTGATGAAGGCCGCTTGTGTTGTGGCCGAAACGTCGTGATTTTTTGTTATTTTATTTTTACCTACGTGACTTTACCGAATAGAACCAAAGAGTTTGTGTCGAACTTCTTTCGCACCGTACGTAGACCAACCGTGCTAATTGGAGGGGCCGGGGGAAGTACAACAAACTCAACACGAAAAGAAGTTCTAAAAGAAATGTGTTCGATCTAGATGATGATTGAAAGTGACTTCCTAACATCGGAAGGAGAGCGTTCCAGACGGCCGCGAAATCGCATCTGAAAGCGCCGCGCGATGCTGCGGTCACCACCGCCTTTGTCCGATGGCTGAGCCAAAATCCGCTGCTGCGAGGGCGACCCGAGTTTGCGTGATGATGGTTTATGCGCCTTTGCGAGATCAGCGAGGTAGCGTGGTTAGTTTCTCGCGAGCACTTTGCGTGCAATGAGCGCGACCTTTCTCACGCCGTTTTCGTTCAGCAAGAGGTCCCGTAGAGTAAGCGAGTTGCAATACTCGAGCCTTGTCTCATGATGCCGATTTAAACTACCGGAGGAACGTGATCACCCAGTTGCTGCAAGTGTTTGGATCGCGATGCGTGTAAACGTCGCCACCAGGGAGGCAAAGGCGACCGGGCGTAGTGCTGGCCACCCACCCTCTCGTGCATTCATCGGTGCTCGCTAACAGCACTTGCCCCAACAGTCTGTTAAGGCTAAACGGGGGGATTTTTGTCTTTGTACACGGCCTGCCTTGGCTTTTATTGGCCCTTGCCGTGCAGTGCCGTTGATTCCGCCGTCTAAGTGGGGCTCACCTGCACCGCCCGCCAGGCCAGATGTCAACTTCAGCAGCAGGCCCATGTCGTGGTATTTGAAAAATTTGAGAGCCATCGTCGTGGCCGCTGCCACACTCATCAGCACGCTTAGAATGGTGAAGGCCCTCGCCGCTGTTTCACACAACAAGAAGAGAACAACAGCAAGGAGGAGGGATGGAGGGGGTTAGTGATGGGCGGCGGGGTGAGGACAGAGAGCTGCTCGAGAGGGCTCTGTCACTCATGGCTCCTGAGATCCCAAATCCCCGACACCTCAAAAAACGTCACCCCGCACACGCAGACCAAGGGGCAACGTTCGCACCCACGTGCAGCCCTCGAGCCAGTCGTAGACAATTCCATATTCCCATGGCCGAGGTTTGTTTTCCCCTCTCTCTGCAATTGGTGACCACCCTTGAGACCTTCCAACCGTCGTCGCTCATTTTGTCAACGGCAGAGCGACGACCGCGTCACGCCGGGATAACAACTCGGCCATCACCGTGCCCCAACCGTTGACGTCGTTTTGACGCTGTTGGGGTTTCTTCTTCTTCACGTTTAAAAATAAATAAATGTAAGACGAAGAGGAGGTGGCCCCGGTGGCTCGGAGCTCAGGGCGCCGAGTTGACACTCCTGGCACCGTGGGGGTCACCGTGGGGGTCACCGCCGAGACTGCCTCTCGGCTTTAGTTCACTTTGTTGGTCTTTGCCCTGGCCACTAACGACTGCACATAGCAACAACAACAACTCCTAAACCCCGTCATATTTAATTTGAGTTTGTACTCAACCTGGCTACATTCCACGCCTGACAAATTACAAACGCAGTCGCGACCCCCGATCTACGCCCTCCCACTTTGCGTGCTCGTACTCGAGATTGACGAACTTTACCACGAAGGCCCAAAGTTGTTGTGACGTTGCACGGCGAACATTCAGGCTCCAGACGGCGACTATTGTTGTTTGTATATACAATAGACAAGGTAATGCATCTTAATACGTCAATAAGTGCACAATTGTGGTGAAAAAGTGTGCAGAGACCGCAATGATAACCAAGGACAGCATCTCTCCTTGCCCCCAATGAGTGTGACAAAAACTCTTCAGCTCCTGAAGCTCCCAAGGTGCGCAGCTAAACGTCGAACTTCATCCAGAACAACAACAACACAAAGACAGATCTGGGAAAGCCACGCAGCCACAACCACACAAAGCCACGCAGCCACAACCACACAAAGCAACGCAGCCACAACCACACAAAGCCACGCACCCACAACCACACAACGCTACGCAGCCACAACCACACAACGCTATGCAGCCACAACCACACAAAGCCACGCAGCCACAACCACACAAAGCAACGCAGCCACAACCACACAAAGCAACGCAGCCACAACCACACAAAGCTACGCAGCCACAACCACACAAAGCCACGCAGCCACAACCACACAACGCTACGCGGCCACAACCACACAAAGCCACGCAGCCACAACCACACAAAGCCACGCAGCCACAACCACACAACGCTACGCACCCACAACCACACAAAGCCACGCAGCCACAACCACACAAAGCCACGCAGCCACAACCACACAAAGCCACGCAGCCACAACCACACAAAGCTACGCAGCCACAACCACACAAAGCTACGCAGCCACAACCACACAAAGCCACGCAGCCACAACCACACAACGCTACGCGGCCACAACCACACAAAGCCACGCAGCCACAACCACACAAAGCCACGCAGCCACAACCACACAACGCTACGCGGCCACAACCACACAAAGCTACGCAGCCACAACCACACAAAGCCACGCAGCCACAACCACACAAAGCTACGCAGCCACAACCACACAAAGCAACGCGGCCACAACCACACAAAGCCACGCAGCCACAACCACACAAAGCCACGCGGCCACAACCACACAAAGCTACGCAGCCACAACCACACAAAGCAAGGCAGCAGCTGAAGCACAACCACCTTCTCACGGTGTGGACTTTTTCACGGCACTCACCATGGCAGCTGCCCGTCGGACACATATAACTCACGCAGTTGACATCGCAGATCTGCCACAGCCCTACGGAATTACCAATCGCCGCGTGCCAATTGGGAAGAGCCGTGCTGACCACCGTGAAGATGACGCTGAAAGCCGCGGTGGCCAGGGTGATTTTTTGGAGCAGTGATGGGTCTGCCATGTGGCCTTTTTCAACAACAACAACAATTGGGGGTCGAGCGCCCAAAGCGAAAAGCAGCGATATGTGCGTGCGCGAAATCCCAATTCGTCCCGTGGAGGCCCCATAAATAAGGGTGTGAAGGTCACGTGTCTGACCCGAATCTCGGTGGTCATCTCCTTCCTATCACCTCGTTGATGTCAGCAAGCACCGTGGGGTTTTGAAATCGGCGTTTGGCCACCGCAGAGCTGATTTGACGCCACCGAATACCGTCCACGCGTCCGGCCACTTCTCTTTTTCGGAAAGCTGCACGTCCTGTTTGCCGGTCCGTGATCAGTGACGACTTTTTTCGTGTTATTTAATGTTTTACTTCCAACCCGAAACTTTCAAACAAGGTGGTGTGAATTGCATCGCCGGCCGTGCGGTGGTTTCAAAGCAGAACGTTATCTTGTCACGACTGCCTCAGTCGAGTAACAGGTGGTGTTTGCAGCGACGATCTTAGGTAAGACATGGCAGAAGTGAAAACTAGGAGGAAAATGCCACAATGAAATGGTACCGTGCCAACAGTTGGCAGTACCATGCTAACAGTTATATACAGAGATCTGAATGAAGGAGATGATAAGCCCTATTTGTTGTCCCAATTTTTTTTACTAGTATTCACTTGTGCCAATTTTCCTGCGCCAATATTTTTACCAGCTACCTAAGCAGCTACACCAGGGCTGTCGCTGGGCTGGGCGCTGGGCTGGGCTCTAAACTGGGCAATGGGCTGGGTGCTGGGTGCTGGGCTGGGCGCTGGGCTGGGCTATAAACTGGGCAATGGGCTGGGTGCTGGGTGCTGGGCACTGGGCGCTGGGCTTGGTGCTGGGCTGGGTGCTGGGCTTGGTGCTGGGCTCTAAACTGGGCAATGGGGTGGGTGCTGGGCTGGGCCCTGCGCCCACCAAAACGTCCCTTTGGACCCCCCACCCATATTCACGCTTCCTTCCTTCGCGGTGATGAACGGTGAGCCCCCCACCCCCACATTACAACTCTCCTGCCCCTCCCCACCAATCCGAAAGAAGTTGCCAGGCTTGTGCTACGCAATATACGATGGGTAAATTAACCGAAGCAAAACACAACTATAGATAGAATATCACACACACACACAACACACACAACACACATAACACACACACGGTTGCTTTGTACATCGGAGAGGACGTCCACAGAGGAGATGGATGGCATCCCGTCGCGTTTCGTGTGCCGGGTGGATTGTTGCATGGTGAGAGATGGCGACCCCTTCATCCAGCAGTGGATTGACCATTGCAGACGATGGTTCTCGCTGTGTGTGAGTGTGTGTGTGCGTGTTCAAGTTGCCATCTCATCAACTTGCCTGCGGGTCTCCCTTGTTAATGAAACAAAAAAAGTACCACGTTGTCTGAACAATATATTGGTAACATAGTAATTGGCTTTTTATAATTAACAACGATCTACAACAATGTACTCACGGTATTACGATTAACTGAGCACGCGGAAAGGCGGTAAGACTGTTTGTGCGTTGACTTGCTCCGTGAAATCAACTCTATTTGCGATTATCTCATGGGGTTCCTTCTGCGGCCAGGAGGTCTTCCATGGACCGTGAATTCAGCTCCTGTCCCATTCCTTCTTGCGAAGCTCCACTCTCCGTATCTTCCCACTCACGGTCTTTGGGAGTTGATCGACGAATTCGATCTGAAAGGAAATCATAGCACGCGTGAGCTTGTGCCACTGGTAATATTGCATAGATTATTGTGTCACCAAAGTGGAAGAATGTTAAAAAAATATTTAGCCTTACGAAACAATTTTTTTTATTTTACCAGGTAAGGCACACTGAGCTATATAGCTCTTTTTCAGAAGCGACTTGGCCACAAATGATAGGTAAATAACAAAGTGGCATATCACGTGGAAAATGAAAGCAGTCAAATACTCTGAACGCGTGATGTTGATTCTAAACGTGGAGGGGAAAAACCGAAGGACCTGGAGAAAAATCCACGCGACCACGGAAGGCGATAACAGGCATCGTCAGGGCCAGGATTGAACCGACGGTCTCCTGAATATCAGGCGAGGTAGTTAACATCTTAAAACGTCACTTAAGAGCAACGAATGGGGTGGATAAGTGGTGGTGCAGTGGCTAAACCTCGGGAAATTGATGTGACAGATCGTTGGGCGCGAGTCCCCGGTACCTTGCGTGGGTACTTGTACGGTGCCGTCACGGTCCTCACGTGATCCTGCAGCTCGGCGATGAGCGGCTGGGGGCTGCGGGACTTGTACTCCTTGGTGAGAACAATGAAGGCCTTCACCACCTGGTGTCGCGCAACGGTCACAATCGGTGTCATCGGAATCTTCCCTTGAAGGGATCTACGTAGCGCCTTAACCAAGACTTGACAAGTTTTCACGTTTCATTTATTAGGCATAGCCCTGTGAGCCATGCGGCTCTTAAGTCGGGTGCAACCGCAACAAACTAAATATGAATCTACATTTCAGAAAACTATTACACCACAACCAGACCAAAATAAAGCTACAAAAACAATGTAACAACAGTAATCATAGGAACTGTGATTTTAAATTGATCAATAAACGATATATATAACACGTACGACAAAACCTGCAGCCATAGCTGGCAGCACGACACTCCCAGTGTATGATGTGTGCGTCAGCAGCAGCGTTAGTGAGTGTATGATGTGCGAGTCAGCGCACGATGTGTTAGTCAGCGTATGATGAGTGAGTGTATGATGTGTGAGTGAGTCAGCAGCAGCGTGCGTGAGTGTATGATGTGCGAGTCAGCGTATGATGTGTGAGTGAGTCAGCAGCAGCGTTAGTGAGTGTATGATGTGCGAGTCAGTGTATGATGTGCGAGTTAGTGTATGATGTGTGAGTGAGTCAGCAGTAGCGTTAGTGAGTGTATGATGTGCGAGTCAGCGCACGATGTGTTAGTCAGTGTATGATGAGTGAGTGTATGATGTGTGAGTGAGTAAGCGACAGCGTGAGTGAGTGTATGATGTGCGAGTCAGTGTATGATGTGCGAGTTAGTGTATGATGTGTGAGTGAGTCAGCAGCAGCGTGAGTGTATGATGTGCGAGTCAGCGCACGATGTGTTAGTCAGTGTATGATGAGTGAGTGTATGATGTGTGAGTGAGTCAGCAGCAGCGTTAGTGAGTATATGATGTGCGAGTCAGCGCATGATGAGTGAGTCAGTGTATGATGAGTGAGTGTATGATGTGCGAGTCAGTGTATGATGTGCGAGTTAGTGTATGATGTGTGAGTGAGTCAGCAGCAGCGTGAGTGTATGATGTGTGAGTCAGCGCATGATGAGTGAGTCAGTGTATGATGAGTGAGCGAGTCAGCGGCAGTGTGAGCTAGTGTATGATGTGTGAGTCAGTGTATGATGTGTTAGTCAGTGCATGATGAGTGATTCAGTGTATGATGTGTGAGTCAGCGGCAGTGTGAGTCAGTGTATGATGTGCGAGTGAGCCAGCACACGATGAGTGAACCTGTGTATGATGAGTGAATGGGTCAGTGGTTGTGCGAGTGTATGATGAGTGAGTCAGCGTATGATGAGTGAGTCAGTGTATGATGAGTGAGTCAGTGTATGATGTGAGTGAGTAAGCGCATGATGAGAGAGTCAGTGCATGATGTGTGAGTGAGTCAGTGCATGGTGTGAGTGAATCAGTGTATGATGTATGAGAAAGTCAGTGACAATGGTACAGCCACGTGTGAACGTGACGGTGGAGGTGAGGTGACTGAATTAGATGAGAGGAAGCAATTTGCTGCATTGATTGATGCATTGATTGAATGAATGGGGTTTATGAGTGATAGAATGAAAACGTGAAGAGGGAACAGGAACGGCGGTGGTTATGAGGGGGCAGGTTAAGGGGGGGGGGGGGGGGAGTCGTGTGGTGAGCTAGGGGACGAGAAGCTCGTTTTGAGTGAGGAGCGAAAACGAGCGAACGAAGGTGACCGCTTAACGGGGAGGGAGAAGTTTGTTCCAGTGAAAGGGGGCGAGAAGAGAGAGAGGGAGGAGGAAGAATCCGATGAGCTGTGAGGCTCTTTGTCGCAGTAGGGGCGGGTACAAAACTCTGCAACAACAAACAGTACAAACACACCATGGGAGTATAGGAAAGGCAAACAAATCGCTACGTCCGAATAACAAAAACAAATGGTTCAGTCGCAGTGTGCCCGTAGCCTCACAGAGATGCACGGGGACTCACAGAGAGAGACACACAACGTGATGGAGACGTGACGGGGGGGTTGTGCACTACACGGTGGCCTCACCTCCCCGCGGACCGGATCGGGGCTGCTGGTGACAGCGGATTCCACCACGGCCGGGTGCTCGATCAGGGCGCTCTCCACCTCGAAGGGGCCGATCCGATAGCTTTGGGGGGGGGGGGCAGAGACGCGCACGAAGGCGTCACACTGCCGTGGCAACGCGGAGTGAAAGACGTCTTGGTGTGGACACCCTCCCCAAGACGGAGCGTGCTTGGTCGAGCACGGGAGGGGATCGGGCCACCGAAATAAAAAACCGCGTCAATAATTCAAGGGCCGCAATGCAAATGTGTGAATACGAGAAGACGGTGCCGCCTCCTTGGTGACTCAGTGTCACCAGGCACCCTTGGTGACTCAGTGTCACCAGGCACCCTTGGTGACTCAGTGTCACCAGGCACCCTTGGTGACTCAGTGTCACCAGGCACCCTTGGTGACTCAGTGTCACCAGACACCCTTGGTGACTCAGTGTCACCAGGCACCCTTGGTGACTCAGTGTCACCAGGCACCCTTGGTGACTCAGTGTCACCAGGCACCCTTGGTGACTCAGTGTCACCAGGCACCCTTGGTGACTCACTGTCACCAGGCACCCTTGGTGACTCACTGTCACCAGGCACCCTTGGTGACTCAGTGTCACCAGGCACCCTTGGTGACTCAGTGTCACCAGGCACCCTTGGTGACTCACTGTCACCAGGCGCCCTTGGTGACTCACTGTCACCAGGCACCCTTGGTGACTCAGTGTCACCAGGCACCCTTGGTGACTCAGTGTCACCAGGCACCCTTGGTGACTCAGTGTCACCAGGCACCCTTGGTGACTCACTGTCACCAGGCACCCTTGGTGACTCAGTGTCACCAGGCACCCTTGGTGACTCACTGTCACCAGGCACCCTTGGTGACTCAGTGTCACCAGGCACCCTTGGTGACTCAGTGTCACCAGGCACCCTTGGTGACTCACTGTCACCAGGCACCCTTGGTGACTCACTGTCACCAGGCGCCCTTGGTGACTCGCTGTCACCAGGCGCCCTTGGTGACTCACTGTCACCAGGCACCCTTGGTGACTCAGTGTCACCAGGCACCCTTGGTGACTCAGTGTCACCAGGCGCCCTTGGTGACTCACTGTCACCAGGCACCCTTGGTGACTCAGTGTCACCAGGCACCCTTGGTGACTCAGTGTCACCAGGCACCCTTGGTGACTCAGTGTCACCAGGCACCCTTGGTGACTCAGTGTCACCAGGCACCCTTGGTGACTCAGTGTCACCAGGCACCCTTGGTGACTCAGTGTCACCAGGCACCCTTGGTGACTCACTGTCACCAGGCACCCTTGGTGACTCACTGTCACCAGGCACCCTTGGTGACTCACTGTCACCAGGCACCCTTGGTGACTCACTGTCACCAGGCACCCTTGGTGACTCACTGTCACCAGGCACCCTTGGTGACTCACTGTCACCAGGCACCCTTGGTGACTCACTGTTACCAGGCACCCTTGGTGACTCAGTGTCACCAGGCACCCTTGGTGACTCAGTGTCACCAGGCGCCCTTGGTGACTCACTGTCACCAGGCACCCTTGGTGACTCAGTGTCACCAGGCACCCTTGGTGACTCACTGTCACCAGGCACCCTTGGTGACTCACTGTCACCAGGCACCCTTGGTGACTCACTGTCACCAGGCACCCTTGGTGACTCAGTGTCACCAGGCACCCTTGGTGACTCAGTGTCACCAGGCACCCTTGGTGACTCACTGTCACCAGGCACCCTTGGTGACTCAGTGTCACCAGGCACCCTTGGTGACTCAGTGTCACCAGGCACCCTTGGTGACTCACTGTCACCAGGCACCCTTGGTGACTCAGTGTCACCAGGCACCCTTGGTGACTCAGTGTCACCAGGCGCCCTTGGTGAGCCGCGTGCTGCTCCGGAGCCGCGGGTTTTTGCCGACGGTCCGGTCCAGCAGGAATCGCAATCACGCAGTTGTGAATTAAAATCGTGGGCGAGGTGGAATTAGCCGTTCGTGATGAGCCGTCGCAATGGATGGTGTTACTAGGGGTTATAGCTGGCAAGGTTGGGCGATTGAGTCGATTTTAAATCGCCCCAAACGTTGCCCTTCTCTTGACTGCTCGTCCGCGTCGTCGATTCCTCTCGGCGCGCGCAGACTACGGCGTCTGTCCGGCAGCGCGCTCCCTCCCCGAAGGCTGTGAACCACCGATGATCCACGTCCGGCGAGCCCCGTCCATCACCTCCCCGTCCAGTGGTGGCACGTGTGCGCACGGTGGGGGGCGAGACTTCCCCCACCCCCCCAAAACGATGTTCGTACTATCCGACCAGTCGAATGATCGCTGCGATAATCGGTCGAGTAATCGATTACCAAAGTAACCGGTCGCGTCCCAGCTACGTAGCTCTCTTTCAGACAGTGGCCTGGCCAGAAAACAGTCGCTCGACGAAGTGGCTCATCACGTGCAAATGTAGAGCAGCCAAATACTCTGAACGCATTCACCAAAAAAGGTTTTTGGGTTAGAGCGCGTAAATAAAAACTGCGCCACCGGACACAGCCCAATTAGTAACGTTTATCACGGAAACAAAACGTGCCAATTAGCGATTACTTCAGCGCACCGCTGTGATGGCGAGTAAACCCACAACCAGCCTCGTCAGGCGATTTGCCAGAATTGCGAAGAAGCCCTCCTGCTTCCGGTCTAAAATAGAGCAACGGTGATGTCATCATCACTCTGACGTCGCCTTGCGCTATTTAAACGTGTGACGTTGGTTCTAAATGTGGAGAGAACAACCCATAGGACCCAGAGAGAAGGAATGGGAGTGAATAAATGTTCGAAAGTGGCTCATTTGCAGAAGGGACCTGGCCACAAATGATAGCTCAATGAAATAGCCCATCGCGTGGACATGCATAGCAGCCAAATACTCTAAACACGTGATGTTGATTCTAAATGTGGAGGGAAAAACCGGAGGACCCGGAGAAAAATCCACGCGACCACGGGGAGAGAGAGAAACACGCAGACTCCACATATACAGCAGGCGTCAGGGTCGAGATCGAACCCACAACCTCCTGTATACCTGGCGAGGCAGTTAACATCTCCCCACCACCGCCCCCGCTCCGCCCCACCGCGAGCACCGGGCGGCAGCCTCACCCGGCCGACAGGATGACATCGTCGGCTCTGCCCACGAACCAGAAGTAGCCGTCCCGGTCCCGAGTCGCCCGGTCCCCCGTCACGTAGAAGTCCCCTCGCTCCGTCGCCGCACTGCTCCGGGGATCGTCCTGCACGGCAGAGCGTCGGAGCGCCGGCGAGGCCGGGCCTCGCCAAGCGGCACTCGCCCCATCAGTCGGTCCCGGCCACGCGGGGCGATCTTTGGCGCCATGTGCTCAGCGTAACGCGAACCCTTACCAGATACTCCGTGAACAGCCAGGGAGGCCTCTGTGGTTTTATCCGGATGGCTAAGTCACCCTCTTCTCCAGCCGCGACGACTTCTCCTTGCTCGTCAATGACCTGTTTGGCACAAAGAAAAAGATCGCCCGTGTAGCCTTAACACACTGTTGGGGCAAAGTGCTGTTCGCGAGCAGCGCCGATGAAGGCCGGCACGGCACACGAGGGGGTGGGTGGCCAACACCGCGCCGGTTTGACACGACGCCCGGCGCACGCACACACGCACCGCAGGCACGGCAGCTCCTGAAGGCCGATACGCCCAAAGGGGAGCATTTCCAAACCATATATACAGTACATACATACAAGAGGGCATTTGCATGTGTGTACGTATGGTGAACTTCTTTTGCACCATACGTAGCCGAGCGCGCCAATCGGAGGTGCGACAATGTACCTCTACTTGGTATCCTGGAGAAGCCTTTCCCATGGATCCAGGCTTTATCTTCATCCCTTTGAACGTCCCGCATACCAAGACCTGACGGCACAAGCATAACACTGCTTTTAACTGTAATGGAGGGTTTCGGGGTTAGATCGCGTAAATATGAATGTGTCGTGAAACCCGCCACCACCCGACACAGCCAATTAGTAAGGTTTTTCACGCGAACAAAAGATGCCAATTACTAGTTCAGCACACCGGTGTATTGGAGAATAAACCCGTGACATTTACAATTACTTTCAAAATTCATGGCTGATCCACCACCCCCCTATTTTTTTATACGTGAATACAGTTGTTGATGTTGTTGAATAGTGTGACTGCTCGAGGTACAACCGGGCTATCCGGCACAGGATGTCGCTATCTCCAGCCGGCACGAACTTCTCCATCTCCGGCCGCTAAGAAACCACGGCCTGCCACGTGTGGCGTTACCTCGCCGAGCTAAACTGAACTATTCATCATTTTTATTTTACAGATAAAGCCCACATATGGTAGCTCTTTTTCAGAAGCGACCTGGCCACAAACGATAGCTCAACGAAAGTGGCTTATCATCTCGTGAAAATGTAAAGCAGCAAGTACTCTGAACGCGTGATGTTGTTTCTAAATGTGGAGGGGAAAAACCGGAGGGCCCCGGAGAAAAATCCACGCGGCCACGGGGAGAGAGACACCACAAACTCCAAATATACAAGCCTCATGACCTCCTGTAGACCAGGCGAGGCAGTTAACATCTCACCACTGCGACCTCACCTGCCGTCCGACAGGGCTGCACCAGTGTGGTAGGGGCTCTCCGATTATTTAAGTGATCGATTGCCCTACCGATTATCGGTTCAATTATTTGACCAATCAGAAAGTTTGGGGGGAAAAAAAGTCTCGCCTCTCATTGCCACATGTGCCGCTGAACGAGAAGTGATGGGCGGGACCTGGTGACGTCATTGGCCGTGCTGCGCTGGGCGCGGCTACAAGTCTGGGGTTTCCTGCCTTCACGGGATGGGGCTCTGAGTACAATCGATGCGGAAAAATAGCAGTCGGTCGAAATTTTGCATTGATTAAATTACGAATAGTCCCATCGAAAGTACGAAAATCGAAGCAAAGAGACGGGATGGTGGATCGCAACGTGGTACAGAACCTACTAGTAGTAGTACTTACAGGGCTGTAGTAGTAGGTACTACTACTAGATATGGGATGGTGGATCGTAACGTGGTACAGTACCTACTCATAATAAAGGTTTTTGGGTTAGATCGCGAAAGTATAAATGTGTCGTAAACCTTCACCACCCGACACACCGGTAGGCTGAAGTAGTAAACGAATTGGCGCGTTGTTCACGTGACAAACCTTACTGGCTGTGTCGGGTGGTGGAGGGTTAGGACACATGTAGAATTACGCGATCTAACCCAACAACCTTTACTATGAATAATATTGGTCGCGAAAGCCTACGTGTTAAACTGACAGTACTTACTACTAGTAGTAGTATTACCTACTACTACTAGTAGTACCTACTACTACTCGCAGTAGTTTATTATTTGACTCGAACACACGTGTCACATACGGGCTGCCAGTCCCCACTGGGGCTGAGACCTTTGAGGATCTCACTGCTTGATGATCTCACCGCTGGAGGATCTCACTGCTTCAGGATCTCACTGCTTCAGGATCTCACTGCTTAAGGATCTCACTGATGGAGGATCTTACTGCTTCAGGATCTCACTGTTTGAGGATCTCACCGCTTGAGGATCTCACTGCTGAAGGATCTCACTGCTTCAGGATCTCACTGCTTCAGGATCTCACTGTTTGACGATCTCACTGTTTGAGGATCTCACTGTTTCAGGATCTCATTGCTTGATGATCTCACTGCTTCAGGATCTCACTGCTGGAGGATCTCACTGCTTCAGGATCTCACTGTTTGAGGATCTCACTGTTTGAGGATCTCACTGCTTCAGGATCTCATTGCTTGATGATCTCACTGCTTCAGGATCTCACTGCTGGAGGATCTCACTGCTGGAGGATCTCACTGCTTGATGATCTCACTGCTTGAGGATCTCACTGCTTCAGGATCTCACTGTTTGAGGATCTCACTGCTGGAGGATCTCACTGCTTGATGATCTCACTGCTTGATGATCTCACTGCTTCAGGATCTCACTGTTTGAGGATCTCACTGCTTGAGGATCTCACTGCTGGAGGATCTCACTGCTGGAGGATCTCACTGCTTCAGGATCTCACTGTTTGAGGATCTCACTGCTTGAGGATCTCACTGCTTGAGGATCTCACTGCTTCAGGATCTCACTGCTTCAGGATCTCACTGCTGGAGGATCTCACTGCTGGAGGACCTCACTGCTTGAGGATCTCACTGTTTGAGGATCTCACTGTTTGATGATCTCACTGCTTGACGATCTCACTGCTGGAGGATCTCACTGTTTGAGGATCTCACTGCTGGAGGATCTCACTGATGGAGGATCTCACCGCTGGAGGATCTCACTGTTTGAGGTTCTCACTGCTTCAGGATCTCACTGCTTCAGGATCTCACTGCTGGAGGATCTCACTGCTGGAGGATCTCACTGCTTGAGGATCTGACTGCTTCAGGATCTCACTGCTGGAGGATCTCACTGCTGGAGGATCTCACTGCTGGAGTATCTCACTAATGGAGGATCTCACTGCTTCATGATCTCACTGCTGGAGGATCTCACTGCTTCAGGATCTCACTGCTTCATGATCTCACTGCTGGAGGATCTCACTGCTGAAGGATCTCACTGCTTGAGGATCTCACTGCTTCAGGATCTCACTGCTGGAGGATCTCACTGCTTGAGGATCTCACTGCATCAGGATCTCACAGCTTGAGGATCTCACTGCTGGAGGATCTCACTGCTGGAGTATCTCACTAATGGAGGATCTCACTGCTTCATGATCTCACTGCTGGAGGATCTCACAGCATCAGGATCTCACTGCTTCATGATCTCACTGCTGGAGGATCTCACTGTTTGAGGATCTCACTGCTTGAGGATCTCACTGCTGGAGGATCTCACTGATGGAGGATCTCACTGCTTGAGGTTCTCACCGCTGGAGGATCTCACTGCTGGAGGATCTCACTGCTGAAGGATCTCACTGTTTGAGGATCTCACTGCTTCAGGATCTCACTGCTTCAGGATCTCACTGCTTGAGGATCTCACTGCTTCAGGATCTCACTGCTTGAGGATCTCACCGCTGGAGGATCTCACTGCTTCAGGATCTCACTGTTTGAGGATCTCACTGCTGGAGGATCTCACTGCTTGATGATCTCACTGCTTGAGGATCTCACTGCTGAAGAATCTCACTGTTTGAGGATCTCACTGCTGGAGGATCTCACTGCAGGAGGATCTCACTGTTTGAGGATCTCACTGATGGAGGATCTCACTGCTGGAGGATCTCACTGCTGGAGGATCTCACTGTTTGAGGATCTCACTGCTTCAGGATCTCACTGTTTGAGGATCTCACCGTCTCTGTCTGCCCGTAGCCTTCGTAGATGTCCAGGCCGGTAGTGCGTTTCCACGCCTCCATGACTTCGGGGTTGATGGGCTCCCCAGCGCTCACGCAGTGCTGCAGGCTCCGGAATTTGAAGCTTACGTACAGGAGGCGAACGAGAGGAAGCTTTAGGGCAGAGGTGGCAGGGACGGAGACCTATTCCTTACTCTGGGCCAAATTAAATTTGATCGAATTTATATTTCTAGAGCGCCACACACTGACGCGCTACAGTCACTTCTGCCACCGCAAGAAGCGAGATGAAATGATCAGAATCAAAATATTTATTTATCCTGGATAAATCCGATGAGCTATGAAGCCCTTTTTTCGCAGATGCCCAGTATTTTCACAACCCACATTTGCACGTGGTGAGCCACTTCGTTGAGCGATCGTTTTCTGTCCAGGTCACTGTCTGAAAGAGAGCTACGTAGCCGGGACGCGACCGGTTATTTTAGTAACTGATTGCTCTACCCATTATTGCTTCGATCACTCAACTGATTGGACAACACGAACATTGTTTTGGGGGGGGGGAGAATGGAAGTAAACCACTTTCATCATCAATCATGTTCTTTCTGCTGGTGGATGAAGACCTCTCCCACTCATCCACCATCTCTCGCAACTCTGCGATCTGATATAATCCCACTTGGAGCCTCCACGCGCTGTGATTAGATTCCATCTCTCCACGTTCTGGGCGAGATTATCAACACGGCGTTGCCAAAATTCCCCGTCTCGTCTCGTGCCCCGATCAGCAATGTGTGGACTCATAACATTTGTCCCTTCTGTATGGGATAGAGTGTTGTGCCCTCTCATTAATTGTCTTCTAGCGTCTGAATATATGGATAACTGGCACCGGCTCAGCGCTGGTTTGTGGTCCCTCGTGCCTCTTGACTCGTTATCTATCGTCCAGAGTGATGGTATCGTGTGCGTTAGTGCGTTACAAGTTTAAATTGTTATTATTTAAATTGATAATCATCAGTCATAAGTCCTCAGTGAACAATTGAACAATATCCATCCATCATCCGCACTTATGATTAGCACGGTTTGCTACGTACAGTGCTAAAGAAGTTCAACATATATACAACATACATACAGCCGTCAAGCACCAATAACGATGGCTAGGAGATGTTAACGACCTCGCCTGGTCTACAGAAGGTCGTGGGTTCGATCCCAAACCTGATGCCTGCTGCTGTTTATTTGGAGTTTGCGTGTTTCTCTCCCAGCGGTTGCATGGATTTTTCTCCGGGTCCTCCGGATTTTCCCTCCACATTTAGAAACAACATCACGCGTTTAGAGTATTTGGCTGCTATAAATTTCCACGTGATGATGAGCCACTTCGTTGAGCTACCATTTGTGGCCAGGTCGCTTCTGAAAAGAAGAGCCGTATATATCTCAGTGGGGCCTTACCCGGTTAAATAAAAAATAGTTTACAGTCTTATTCATCACGCACGGTGCCAATGATGGGCTCACCTTGCCACGTCCTCTTGCACCATCATTCTGTACGCGGTCGGAGCGGAGCAAAACGTCGTGATGGGGTAATCGACGAGCGTCTGCAGGGCACAGCAGCGGCACGGCGCTCACGGACATAGGCAAGACGGTGGTGATGGCACCCTGACATGCAAAAGCGTGCTCATGTTTCCTGCTGCGTTTTCTTTCTTACGTCACCTTCGTGTATACCTGATTGATTTTGTTTTTTTTACCGACAATGCACATCAGTCGCATGGTTGGAGCAGGGATGAGATCATTAAGCTATTTAAGATAATTTTTGCTGCTGTAAATGTCCAAACCATGGGCCACTTTGTTTAACTATCAAAATAAGTTAATACCTCAGTGGGCTTTGTCTGATAGGATGGGGATAGTTCAGTTTTATATTTTTTTGTGTTTGAGGGTTTTGTTTACCTCTCTTGTACAACTATCGTTTGTTGTTGTCACGTTCTGACCCCGTACCCCTACCGGACATCTGTGATCAAAGAGCTTTATAGATCACCGGATTCCTCCTCCTGCAGCATAAAAAATATATATATTCTGATTCATTTACGTGATCGTATTCTCCAGACTATGAGACGCTCCGCAGGGTAAGAGGCACCCCGTGTCTTTGTTTCTGTCCGGAGAAGCAGGGAAGAAGGAGTGTCACAGCACAAGCACAAGGCTTCTGGTGTCCGGCAACCTTGGGGAATGGATTGGTGCCAGTTAATTCCATACACCGATTATATCCGAGCATTATGCTTTTACCGGTCACCATATGTTCCATGTGCATAAAACCTTTCGAGGAAGAATCTAAGCCTACATTTAAACTGTGACGTAATAACGTACTCTTATACAGACCTACACTCAACAATCAGTTGTCGAGCATTCTAAGTCGATTGTGCAGGAGCAGAGTGGGTCCATTTGGAGTGCAGTGCCTGGTAGAAGAGTGGTGTAGGTTGAGGCTGCCGCTAGCACCACCACCATCACTCCGCAGGGTCCTGAGCAACGGGTCGACGAGAAGCGCACGGCAAGACGCCGAATGGCTGTCGGAATTTTTTGCGGATACGTGAAGGAAGATTTGTGTTGCCGTCTATAACAAAAATATATTAAATTTTGATTTAAAGCTTTCGTGACTGCAGTAATTCATATTCTTAGTTTTTTCGGTAAAGTCACGTTGAAGAGAAACAACAAAATAACAAAATATATATAAAACAATAAAAATTCTCACGACGTTTCGACCATAACTCAAACGGTCATCATCAGGTGTGTCGGTTTGCATACATTTATTTTGAAAACGGCATATTTATTTATATATATAAAAATAACGTTTGCGTCACGCGCAACGATTGGCTGTTTGCCAGGACAAGTCCATCTATTTTTTGAAAAGAGGAGGGGGGAGACGAAATTTGTTTTTATGTATGCTGTCTGAAAGCCACTGTAAGCGTGAACAATCAATCAAGAACTGAAATGATTTATCAAATCTTTCCAATGATTGCTAAGATAGAATCCATCTTCTCGGTTGAAACACAAGATCCAGGTCCGTTTCAACACATTACATAAAATCCGTGATCTGGTTCCGTCTGTAAAAGATGTGATTCCGGACATACAATACCCTGGTGTCTACAAACTAAGTTGCCTCTGTGGTAGTAGTTACATTGGAGAAACCAAACGCCATATCTCGGACCGCATTCGTGAACATAAAGCAGACCTTAAACACGGTAGGACCAACACCTCGGCCGTAGCAGATCATTGTTCTAATTCAGTAGGCTCACATGCCATTGACTTTTCCAAGACGGAGGTTCTTTGTAAGCCATCTGGCTTCCATGAGAGATTCGTTCATGAGGCTATCCACATATACAAACACAGAGACAATTTCAACCGAGAAGATGGATTCTATCTTAGCAATCATTGGAAAGATTTGATAAATCATTTCAGTTCTTGATTGATTGTTCACGCTTACAGTGGCTTTCAGACAGCATACATAAAAACAAATTTCGTCTCCCCCCTCCTCTTTTCAAAAAATAGATGGACTTGTCCTGGCAAACAGCCAATCGTTGCGCGTGACGCAAACGTTATTTTTATATATATAAATAAATATGCCGTTTTCAAAATAAATTTATGCAAACCGACACACCTGATGATGACCGTTTGAGTTATGGTCGAAACGTCGTGAGAATTTTTATTGTTTTATATATATTTTGTTATTTTGTTGTTTCTCTTCAACGTGACTTTACCGAAAAAACTAAGAATAAAAATATATTACTTAAAAAAAATGTAAACCAGGTAAGGCCCCACTAAGCTGTGTAGCTATTTTTCAGAAGCGACCACAAATGATCGCTTGACCAAGCGGCTTATTGCGTGTAAATGTATCGCAGCAGCCAAGCTCGCTGAATGCACGTTCAGTCTAAATGTGGAGGGGAAAACCGGAGGGCCCGAAGAGAAAAAATCCACGCGACCACGGGAAGAGACAACATGCATACTCTAAATATACAGCAGCAGGCGTCAGGGGTCAGGGGTCAGGATCGAACCCACGACCGGGCAAGGGAGTTAACATCACACCACCGCTGCGTCTCTGACAGATGCCGGTTAATCGAGCATCGTGGAATGGTAAAGTGCCATCTCGACAGGGCTCTTTGCCGTATCGGGCGAGCACATCGACGCTCGCACCTTGAGGACGGTCCGGGAGTCGAATCTGTGCATGGCGCGCACGAAGACGGAGGAGCCCTGCGTCCACGGAGCGAAGACGCTGCTCCACGCGGACTTGGCCCAGCCCGTATCCGACGTGTTCCACATGACGTCTGCCGGAGTGAGGTCCAACCAGAATCTGCGTTCGCACGGAGCGCGTGCACGTTGAACGTATGGGGGTGCCGCGGTGGGTTCCATCCCGACCCTGACGGAGCCTGCTGACTATTCGGAGTTTGCATGTTCACTCGCTCTCTCTCTCCGTGGTCGCATGGAATTTTCTAGCGGTCCTCCAGTTTTTCTCTCCACATTTGTAATCAACATCACGCATTTAGAGTATAGGACTGCTACACGTTTCCACGTGATGATAAGCCACTTCGTGACCTAGAATTTGTGGCCAGGTCACTTCTGAAAAAGAGCTACATAGCTCAGTGGGCCTTACCTCGTAAAATTAAAAAAAAGTTTAGTTTAGTATGTACGTTGAATTTCTTTTGCACCGTACGTAGCTGACCGTGCCAATCGGAGGTGGAGGGAAGGACAACAAACTGAACACAAAAAGCAGTTCTAAAGAAACGAGTTTGCAATCCTGATGATCTAAAAGTGTATAGCTCCCAGTGGCTTCCCAATGCCGTCCGTATCTGAGCGGAAGCGAGCTGGACTTTAACCTACAGCACGTGACCCCCGCCGCACGTGACCTGCCCATCAAACATCTGTGACGTGCCCATTTTGTACTGCCGCGTGGACAGAGACGGGGAGAGGGGGAATTCAAACAAAAAAAACCCCGCAAACGCCGGGAGATCACACGAGCGATGGTGGCGCATCCTCCATGACAGGGGGACAGCGGTCGCCACCCAAAGTTACAAGAAGAGACATCTTTTTTTATTTCGGTAAAGAACCCAAATATTTCAAGAGCCGCAATGCCCGTGGTGAATACGAGAGACGGGGGGGTCCTTGACGCGTGGAAACGTCACAAAGCAGCCCTTAAAGAGCCGCATGCAGGTTGAAGACCCCTGCCTTATGATGTTCATTATTCTCTAAAAACTGAGTTTTTGCATCCCACCAGCTCTGTGGCCAACCACCAACACCACGACACTTAAGGTCATCTCACTTCTCTCTTTCACTCCCTCTGCTCCTTCCCTCGCACCCCTCCACTTTTTAGTCGCCTTTCTCTTTCCCATCGTCGTTTCTGTCTCCCCCCCACCCAACCCCCTCCAGATTTACAATTTTACTTCTCAAAGCAAGAAATACGGTTTGACTCTTTGGGACTTTTGTGCTCGGAAAGTGTGTTTTATTTATTTTAATTTATTTGAAAAGAAGCAGCAAGGTTTCGGAACGCCAAAAGAATGTGCGATGCTGCGAGTGACACATCACAAAGAGCGTCTCCACAGCGCAACGCGGTGCGACCTTCCCTTGGTCTCCACGGAGCAACGCGTGTTACCTTCCGTTCGTGGTCAAGCCCAAGCCAAAGCTGCCGTGACTGTGGACAGTCATCTTGGGAGAGCCCGTCGTGCCGCTGGTGAAGAAGATGGTCATCACCTCCTTGCTGTCGGTCTTCACGCACTCGTGACGGCTCGAGGCCGCCCTGCCGGATGGAAAGGCATTGTGGGTATGGGGCATTGTGGGTTATGGGGCATTGTGGGTTATGGGGCATTGTGGGTATGGGGCATTGTGGGTATGGGGCATTGTGGGTATGGGGCATTGTGGGTATGGGGCATTGTGGGTATGGGGCATTGTGGGTATGGGGCATTGTGGGTTATGGGGCATTGTGGGTATGGGGCATTGTGGGTTATGGGGCATTGTGGGTTATGGGGCATTGTGGGTTATGGGGCATTGTGCCTTATGGGGCATTGTGGGTTACGGCAGGCCCTGGGTTCCAGGATCCCCTCGGATGGCGGGGGAGGGGGGCAGGAGAGGGGGGAGCGTGAACCCGAGTTGGTGCCGAAGGTGGCATTTGGTGGCACGGGGAGCGCCCCATGGCACTATCTTGTATTTGACCAGGTGTAAGGCCCCACTCAGCTGTATAGATATTTTATCGGAAGCGACCCGACCATCACAAACGATAGCTCAACGAAGTGGCTTGTCATCAAATGTGTACTCTAAACGCGTAACTCTAGATTTGAAGCTTTCGTGACTGCAAGGATTCATGCTCTTTGTTTTTTTTTCGGTAAAGTCACCATAGGTAGAAAATAAATAAAATAAAATAAATGAAAACTAAATTAAATCACGACGTTTCGGGCGCAACACAAGCGTCCTTCTTCAGGTGTGGACAACGTAGCGAAAGCACAAACTCTTAAGTGTGTCTCAGAGGTGGCCGTGACGAGGGATTATATAGTCGCGGGGCATGGAGAGAGGGGGTGGGGGCCATGGGGAGTGTGGGGGGGCGGGGTGTGGGCTGGGAGGTGAAGTTGGGAAGCCGAAGGAACGCTGGGAGGCAACGACTGGGGCCGAAACTGGGGCTTTGTGATGTAGATGGCGGCAGTAGATAAGCAAGCTAGGATTAAGCCGCATTTTGTTATAAGTTAGAAATGCGCAGGCTGACAACGTAAGGAGTTCAAACTGAAATGTGCAAGCTAAAAAACAACTTGTGGTACACACTACCTAGGCGATGGTAGTGTGTAAAACTGGGGGATAACAGACTGGGAATATAGGTATGTTTATGAAGATACATCTAAACTGGCTGTCTAGCAGTAAACTGCCCGGTAGCTAAAGTTTGACTTGGTTAATTTCATCTTTCCAATGATTGCTCAATTTGAATCCATCATCTCGGTTGAAGTTATGTCTATGTTTGTATATCTGGATGGCTTCATGGACAAATCTTTGGTAGTATCTAGGAGTCTTGCAGAGCACCTTAGTATCGGAGAAGACAATGTCATGAGAGCCAGCAGCATTATAACAGTGGTCGGTCATGGCCGAAGAATCCGTCCTGCCATGTTTCAGATCCAACTTGTGCTCGCGAATACGATCAGAAATATGTCGTTTCGTTTCCCCGATGTAACAATCCCCACAGGTGCAACTCAGTTTGTAGACACCAGGGTACTGTAAGTCAGGAATGACATTCTTTACAGATGGGATCAGATCACGGATCTTGTGTACTGTACTGAATCGGACCTGGATCTTGTGTTTGTTTAGAATTTAGGAAATATGTTTGGTAACGCCTGCTATGTATGGCAACGTAATGATTTTGATCGGAGTCTCAGTGGGTTGTTTCTCCACGTTGGGAGAAACAGCTTGGCGGTTAGCACGGTCCGAGTATCCGTTCATTTTGAGGGCCAGATGTACATGTTCCAATTCACTGGCCAGGTGGTGTTGGTCAGAGATGCAATGGGCCCTATGGTATAGTGTTTTGATGAGGGAATTCTTACAGTACCCTGGTGTCTACAAACTACCATCGCCATGGTAGTTTGTACCACAAGTTGTTTTTAGCTGGCACATTTCAGTTTTAACTCCTTACGTTGTTAGCCTGCGCATTTCTAACGTACCCACCCGGCAGCATAACAAAATGCGGCTTAATCCTAGCTTGCTTATCTACTGCCGCCATCTACATCACAAAGCCCCAGTTTCGGCCCCAGTCGTTCCCTCCCAGCGCTCCTTCAGCTTCCCAACTTCACCTCCCAGCCCACACCCCGTCCCCCACACTCCCCATGGCCCCCACCCCCTCTCTCCATGCCCCGCGACTATATAATCCCTCGTCACAGCCATCTCTGAGACACACTTAAGCGTTTGTGCTTTCACTACGTTGTCCCCACCTGAAGAAGGACGCTTGTGTTGCGCCCGAAACGTCGTGATTTAATTTAGTTTTCATTTTTTTTACCTTTTTACCTACGTGACTTTACCGGAAAAAAAACAAAGAGTATAAACGCGTAACCTTTAACTAAACGTGGAAGGACAAAGACTGGAGGACCCCGGAGAAAAATCCACGTGACCACGGGGAGAGTGAACACGCAAACTGGCGTCATCAGGGTCGGGACGAACCCACGACCTCCTTCGCACCAGGCGAGGTAGTTAACATCTCAACTCCTCACGTGCCCATCATGCACGCGAACTTGGCGAACAAAAACCCGCTCTCTCAAGGTGAACGGACCGCACACGTGTGACGTAAAAACCACCCAGAAGCTTCACCGACTTCGCGTTTTCTGACACCGCAGATTGTGGCGTGCGATGCCGGATCTGTCGTAACCGTGGTCACCGAATGTGAAGTAACCCCTCTGCCCCACAACCCCCCTCCCTCCTCCCATCGTTCCCATTTTTTTTTACAAAAGTTGCACCCTGCGGTCACGCGTGTGTACACGCTGTACGTACACGCGTCACTGTGTGCGCGGTGGGGTTGATGTCAACTATCTCGCCTGGTATACAGGAGGTCGTGGGTTCGATCCAGACCCAGACGCCTGCTGCTGTTTATTCGGAGTTTCCGTGTCTCTCTCCCCGTGGCCGTGTGGATGTTTCTCCCGGTCCTCCGGTTTTCCCCTCCACATTTAGAATCGATGTGCATTTAGAGTATTCGGTGGATAGAAATATCCATATGATGATGACGAGCCGCTTCGTTGAGCTATCGTAATGTGGCCAAATCGCTTCTGAAAAAGAGCTTTACCCGGTAAAATAAAAATAGCTTTAAGTTCAGTAGTGGTATTATTGTTATGGTTAGAGCAACCGCACTCCCAATGCAGAGGTTCCTGGTTGGACTCCACCTCCCGGCGCCGCGACTGAAGCAAAGGTGGAGGATTCTTAAATCCCCCCCCCCTCCTCCCTCCCCCATTACCTCTGTCCATCCGGCGGGCCTAAATGGGACCGCCACAGTTAGTTCGGTCGGCAGGTCGCGTTGCTCCAGCCTCTTCCGAGGTGTCTGCCCAGCGTTGGAAGATTAGGCCAAAACACCCTCTACTGGGGGCCCTTCCGCCGGCAGCGGCCGTCAGCAACCGGATTGGCGAGGCTGCGCTCTGGAGGCGGCGGGAGCGCCCTGCGCTTGACCCCACCGCGGCAAGCGCTGCCCGGCCGCTTGACCCCACCGCGGCAAGTGCTGCCCCAGCTGCGGCCGCTCGTCAGCGGCATGGCAGACGAGCGTTGCGACGCCGCTCTCTACGGCAGTGGCTCTCTACGCTCTTGTCGGCCACTACCATGCCCCCTTGTTGAATTTCCTTTCAACCGAGTAGTAACCTTCCCCCCCTCCACCGCCTTGCCTGACCCAACGTGGTTCTGAGAAATAAATGTATGGATAATGAACGTCAATATATGTTTTTTTTTACCGATTGTCCATTTTGTGAGGTGCCCCTAACTCGCTAAGTAACTGCAAGCGAATTAAAAAATTCAACGTGCGCTCTGCACGCGTGACGACATTTGTTCACTGGTTCCTCTTGGAAACCACATTGTTTATGATCAATGAGTTAATAAAGGTATTTTATATCGTTCTGGGTTACCATATGGATTTACAGTTTACCGTAGTTATTTTATATTGGCAGATTCTTACATGATTATTCACCAGCGACTCTCACGTACGATACAATTTCACACGTTTATAAATCACCTCCGTACGTACCCCCTGGAACATTGCCACGTGCCCCCCAGGGGTCCGCGTACCCCCGGTTGAGAACCACTGCTCTAGAGAACCCCCTGTGGTGGTAGTATCTGGCCTACTCTCCCACACTGGCCAGACGTCTCGGAACGAGCGGGAGTGTACCCACACCTTACCCCACGGCAGGCGACCTGCCGACGCACTAAACATCGTTGCGTATCCCCGACCGGTGCACGCGAGCGGCGCCTCCTCCACCTCCTCATCGACGCTCGCGGCGAACACCGCGGGGGCCTGGGGGGGGGGGATGGAGACAAAAGTCGCCGTGCCTGAATTCGTCGCGGAAGCTGAGCCAGCCGTCCCTGCGGCCGGCCGCGGAGACCAGGAGCCTGGAGCTGACGCGCGGACACTCGGGCAGCACGAGGTCGACGAGCGGAGCCAGCGACTCGTCCGTGACCACGCACCGCGCCCCGCACGCCAGCAGGCGGTTCCGCACGTCGCGTGCCGTGAGCTGCGCCGTGCCGGGGATGAGCACGACTCCTGGGCACGCAGGCGGTAGTGGGGGGGGGTGGTGAGATGTTAACTCCCTCGCCTGGTATGCAGGAGGCCGTGGGTTTGATCCCGACCCTGACGATGCCTGCTGTAAGAAGCGCAACAACAGCTAAGCTTGTGCCGGAGGCCTCAGGGGGACAGGCGTCTATGACGTCTCTTGGCCAAACTCCATTTGGCGGAGCCAGGAGACTGAACCCGCACCCTCCGGGTTCCTCTTGAAATGGCAAAAAGCCACTGTGAGTGGCCACGTGGAATGTCCAACAGAAGCTCAACGTAAAATCTTGACTTAAAGCTTTCGTGACTGCAGGAGTTTATATTATTTGGGTCTTTCGGTAAAGTCACGTAGTTAGTTTGAAAGTAAAGAACAAACAACTACGACGTTTCGATCACAACACAAGCGATCGTCATCACTTTTCCTCCTGATGACGACCGCTTGTATTGCGATCGAAACGTCGTAGTTTCTTGTTATTTTCTTTCAACCTATCTACGTGACTTCATCGAAAGACCCAAAGAATAAGTTAATCGTACATACGTACGTGGCGATCACGTCACCACAGCGCTTGTGCCATGCTAGAGGCACTTTCAGGCCACGTGAAGTGTCGAAGGCTCGCTGGCAGAAGGTCACGGAACAGACCCATGTGCCGTGGGTTCACTGACTGAGATGATTGGTAGAGGAACCAGCTGCGCTCCCCACTGTGCCAACTCTCTGCGTTTTAGCCACCCAGCGCTCCGCTCTTTGTTGTGAGCGTCGCTTCTCTGCTCTCTGCTGTTGCTGGAGGGCGACTGCCTTGAACTCCCCTGCAGCGACATTCATGAACCTCCTCCATACAGGGCGATATTCACATTGCGGGTACCGGTCATCAGCAAGTCCACTCAACTCCACATCCTTTCATACCACATCAGCCCATCCCTTCTCGAGCCGTGCCACTCACTCACCCACTCACTCACCCACAGCTCCATCTCTTCTCTCGTCCATTGCCACGCCCGTTTAGCCCCCCCTCTATCCGGCCAAACGGAAGCCGCTGGTCACGTCCACCCATCCCACCAACCTGCGCGGATGCAGGCCACGTTCAGCAACCACCACTCGGGCACCCTGGGCAGCACCAGCAGCAGCCGGTCCCCTCTGCCGAGGCCGCACGCGCCGGTCAGGACGTTGGCCGCCTTGCGCGAGCGCTCGGCAAGCTCCCGGAATCCCCAGCGCTCCTCCCCGCCGTCTCCGCCGCCAGCGCCCACCCACCACAGCGCCGGCTTGGGCTCACCGAAGCCCTGCTGCTGCTGCAACGAGGCGCGCCGGTCGAGTCACTGGCATCGCGTGGGCACTGTCGTTGGGCGATTTTTGCCGGCGAGCAATCCGGCCGGGGGGACGCAGCGGCGGTAGCGAGGCGCTTTGCCATCGGAAGGTCGAGAGTTCAAACACAAGTTTGGTGTGGGGGGGAGGGGGGGTTTCGCTCGTCCCCATCAGCCTCCTCTGGAGGGTCGATAAAGTGAGCCCCACTTTGTCGGGAGGGGGGGGGGAAGTAAAACAGTGGTTGTCCCCATGGAGAGGCTTGTTCCCGTCATAGGAATGTGGAATTTCCATCACGGGCCCAGGGCTGTTCTTTTGAGGAAATTTAATGGAAAATGTTGTGGTGGGATAATCAACCAACGTCGAAAGAGTAAAGCACCACCGTGGCACCCACGGTGACAAGAAAATATACTTTATATAGAAAATATACTGTATATAGAAAGACAAAGATCCCCCGTGTAGCCTTCACAGACTGTTGAGGAAAGTGCTGTTAACGAGTAGCACCCTTATGAAGGCCGGCACAACACACGAGGGCTGGGTGGCCAACACCACGTCCGGCCGCCTTTGTCTCCCTAGTAGCGATATTTTATATATACACTGCACCAGGTACTGAGTCCACCTAGATAAACGTCACTGGTGTTGGCCGTGAGCCGGAATCGCAGCGCGTTAAGCATTGCGCCACTGCTCCCCACAAACACACACACGCGGGCACGCGCGCGGAAGCACGCACACACGTTCACGCCCAAGTCACTTTCACATACACATATGCACACACGTGCACGCACTCACTTTCACACACACTAGCTTTCACACCCAAGACAATTTTCACACACCCACACACACACACAAAGACTCATTCCCAGCGCGAGCAAGCCCTGATTCTGCTCCCCCTACCTCCTCGATCTGCGCCCACTTATCCAGAACGTCGCCGGCAAAGTTGAAGTGGTCCGGAACGGTCAAGCTGAAGTCCCTCCGCATGGAGTCGTAGTCGGCAAAGTTGTTGGCCTTGCCGGAGGGGTCACGCGGTTCGCTGCGAGACGACAGAGCGCGCCCTGCCACAGGGTGCGCTCCGGACCGACGGTCCTCCAGCGCAGAGACGTTTGGGCGGCGATGCCATCTCCAGCGGCCTAATCCCCTCTTGAGCCACTGCCTGCTCGCCATGCCGCGCTACGTAGAGAGAGAGATCAAACACGCGCGCCACAAGAAGTCACAATCCCGCACACCTTGCACCAGTGACCACAGGGATGGCTGCAGCACACGAACCAACCGAGCGGCTGTGACGTTGGGCGTACAGCCCAGGGCAGGGGGCATTGGGCGTACAGCTCAGGACAGGGGACGTTGGGCGTACAGCCCAGGGCAGGGGGCATTGGGCGTACAGCCCAGGGCAGGGGGCATTGGGCGTACAGCTCAGGGCAGGGGGCATTGGGCGTACAGCTCAAGGCAGGGGGCATTGGGCGTACAGCCCAGGGCAGGGGGCATTGGGCGTACAGCTCAGGGCAGGGGGCATTGGGCGTACAGCTCAAGGCAGGGGGCATTGGGCGTACAGCCCAGGGCAGGGGACGTTGCAGGGGAATGGCAATGAACGTCACGACGGACTTTAAATACATTTTTGCCACGTGTTTTTTTTGGTAAAGGTTATGGGGTGTTCGTCAACCTGGCCAACTCCGAATAGAATCCGCCACTCAATATAAACACCACCACATGTATAGAGTAGCAGCATGTCGTGACTGGACTACAGCGGTACCCCGGTTTACATCGGGGGGGGGGGGGATGCGTTCCTGGAAGGAGCGACAACGACGGATATCGAAACGACGTCGATCAAAGCAGTTTACAGGGTAGCAGTGGGCAGGGGGGGGGGTTCAGGCGACGTGAGTGTGGGGGGGTTCAGGCGACGTGATTGTGGGGGGGGGGGGGTTCATGTGACGTGAGGGTGGGGGGGTTCAGGCGACGTGAGTGTGGGGGGTTCAGGTGACGTGAGTGTGGGGGGGTTCAGGCGACGTGAGTGTGGGGGGGTTCAGGCGACGTGAGTGTGGGGGGGGGGTTCAGGCGACGTGAGTGTGGAGGGGTTCAGGCGACGTGAGTGTGGGGGGGGGGGTTCATGTGACGTGAGTGTGGGGGGGGTTCAGGCGACGTGAGTGTGGAGGGGTTCAGGCGACGTGAGTGTGGGGGGGTTCATGTGACGTGAGTGTGGGGGGGTTCAGGTGACGTGAGTGTGGGGGGGTTCAGGCCACGTGAATGAGTGTGGAAGGGGGGGGGGGGTTGCGGTAACGAGTCGCCGGTTTCCGCGACTCGCTACGAACGCTGTGGATAGTGAACTGTCGAGCTGCCTTGATTTGGTGCTTTCGTGACTGCAGGAATTACTCTTTGTTTTTATCGGTAAAGTCACGTAGAAATAAGGAATAATAATGAAATTACATAATAGTATACATACGACGTTTCGATTGCAACGCAAACAATCATCATCAGGTATAGAAGAGCTAAATTTAAGAGAGAGAGGAAACAGAACCGCAGATATATACACAGCCACCTAAGCAGAGGGAGTTAACACAGAGACACAAAGAGACACAACGCATGGAGCACAGAGAGATAGGGTCTCCGTGCCGAGGCCTTAGCATGTAGGGGGGACAAAGAGAGATGGAGAAGCACATCAAATCGAACAAGATTTAGTAAAATTTGGCAACAATATAATGCAGCACAGAGGGTCGGTCAAAACACAATTAACGCATGGGCTGGCTGATTAAGTTATTTCAAAGATTGCTAAATTATAGGTTAAGAGTGATAGAGTACAGATCGCAGACACATATATAGACATCTAAGCAGAGAGAGTTAGCACAGAGACACACACAGAGAGAGAGACACACATGGGACACAGTGAAACAATGCTTCTGTGTCGAAGCCTTAAATAGATGGAGAGGGGGGGGAGACAGATAAAGGGATACAAATTAGCATGGACTGGACTGAGCAAGTAGAGGAGCCACGTACATGCCGCTGCAGCGTGGTGACGGGTGGGGGAGGGGCACAAAAATCAGATTAGCATGCCCACAGTGAGGAGCTCACGTGGCGGACAGCGCCGGATAATGATCCTAGTAGCTCTCAATTCCGGTTCAGTGATTCTGCACTTGCTCTGTTACTATAGTACCAGACTGCCTTCAACTTTTATGCACGACTGGGTGTTTAGCGATTTTTCGTATTTATTATCCGGCTGTATAGTAAATGAAAAAATAAAATTACTTTACTATGCAAGTAAAAAAATGTGTGTTTTGATATTTAAGTGTTTTTTTTTATTTAGGGTCCCTTTATAACGCATGCTACAGGCCCCGGCCCCGCACGAGTTTCATCCGGCACTGGTGGCGGAGCCTACGCAGACTGAAGAGACAGAGCGAGAGAGAGAGAGAGTGGCTCTCGGCAGATGCAACTCTCTCGTGAAATCATGGTGGTGGGGGGGGCTACTGCACAACCAGACCCAATGTGCTTGTCAGGAGAAGCAAACCACGTGCGGCATCTCCCGAGATGCCCTGCAGCACCCACAATGCACCACCTGAAGGTGTTGGCAATGCCAACACCAGAAGCGGTGGCCTCTGCAGAATGTTGGGAAAAGGCGGGATAGGTAGCATAGGAGACACGACAGTGGAGTGCTGGTGTTGTGTGTCTGTGTGTGTATTTATAATTATTTTAGATCGACTCCACCTCAAATGAGTACCTGGTGCGGTGTGTAGTAAACATCGCCACTGGGGAGACAAAGGCGGTCGGGCGTGGTGCTGGCCACCCACCCCCTCGTGTGCCGTGTCGGCCCTCATGGGCGCTGCTCGCTAACAGCACTTGCCCCATACGTCTGTTCAGGCTATACGGGCGATCTTTGTATGTATATATATTATTTAAGTAAATCAATAACCAGGGCGTGTTTAAACAATAACCTTCAAGACTAGAATCTCTGTTTATACATTCCGTTAAACACGCAGCGTTTCAAGTTTCAAGTTTAATTTACTGGTAGGAAACGTAGTGGACTGGAAGCCCAACCGGGATTAATTCTCACAGGAGGCAGGGGATTAATTGTGTATGTCTGTGGATGTCTGTCCACGTGTATCCGGACAATCGGATATAAAAATGAGAGGCGTGGGGCTGGGTGGAGAGGGGAGGGTAGGGAGGGGCTGGGTGGGGAGGGGCTGGGTGGGGAGGGTGGGGCTGGGTGGGGGGTGGGAGGGGTGGGGCTGGGTGGGGTGGGGCTGGGTGGGGAGGGGCTGGTCACCCCGCGGTGCCCTTATAAAACTCAACGTTTAACCTACTCACGCCGGCTTGTGCCCACCCTCACAGTCGGGCATATTTGCGGAATACACCACGCCGCCGTTGACCCTGGCCACTGACCGAGCAACCCAACGTTCCTACCAGCCCCCTCCGCAGGAATGTGTTTGTTTAACCAGGCAATGATGACTCTGATGGACATCGGGCAAATGTCATGAGTAAGAGTGACGTGGCCCACCAACAGTGGCAAAAATGCGATGACATAAAACTGAACTCGGTACGACATTCTGTCCATGTGGGTCGAGGGCCAGGGCATGGGTAGAGTTGAGGCTTTGTACATCATACACTACTACGACATCCGTGGACAAGCAGACACATTAAGTCATCTTTGGGTATACTTTAGGTACACCAAAGCACACACAAAGACAACAGGCGATTAAGATGGTGGCGCACAATCAGAACGTTTTTTTTTTGGGGGGGGGGGAACTGATATCACGATAATCGTCATATCGTGAATATTCATATCGTGGGTAGAGGCCTTGACAATCGCCATTAGCCACTAAGTGGCGGTAACGTCACCACGACGCTTGTGCCAGGCCATGTGCACCTTGAGGCCATGTGAAGTGTCGAACGCCCGCTGGCAGAAGGTCACGGGGCAGACCCAGGTGCCACGAGTCGACTGACTGAGATGACCGAGATGACCGGCTGATGCACCACCTGTGCCCCCTACTGTGCTAACTTGCTGTGCTTTAGCCACCCGGCGCTCCGCTCGTTGTTGTGAGAGTCGCTCCTCCGCCCTCCGTTGTTGTTGGAGGGCGACTGCCTCCAACTGCCCAGTAGCGTCCTTCACGAGCCTCCTCCACTGAGGCCGATCTTGACACCGCTGGTACCAGTCATCGGCAAGTCCACTCAGCTCCACGCCCTCCTGTACTACGTCACTCCATCTCTTCTCTAGCCTGTGCCGCGCCCGTTTAGTCCCCTCTAACCGGCTGAGCAAAAGCTGTTTAGGCACGCAGTGACTGGGCATGCGGGCTACATGACCCAGCCAACGCAGCCTTGCCTGCCGGAGGAGCTCACTGATGGGACCTTGCCCAGATCTTTCAAGGATTTGTAAGCTCCTCACACAATCCAGCCTGGTTAAACCCAGGATAGATTGTAGGCAGGCCAGCCTAAATGTTTCTAACCGGCGAAGATGCTCCTTTAGGGGGGTCCCATTTCGCAAGCGTAGAGAAGGGAGGGAATGACCATGGCCGAGAAGACCTGAAGCGTCGTGCGGAGCGACAAACCAGGTAGCTTTCACACAGCGTTACGCAACTGATGAAAAGATATTGCCGCTCGACTGATTCGGAGTGAGACCTCTGCTGTTAAACCGGAGCCGATCATGAGCACACTGCCCAGGTATGGGAAACTCTCCACTCTCTCCACAACTGCCCCATCACCGATTGGGAGTTGTGGGGGTGGAGTGTCCGAAGGTACAAAATACCCAGGCAGGTGCTTAGTTTTGGTGGGGCTGATGGTAAGGCCCCACCTCTTAGTGGCACGCTCCAATTTCAGCAGCAGCGTCTCCAACTCCTCCTCTGAATGAGCAGCAATTACCAAATCATCGGCATTCATAATGTGGTTGACCAATAGGGAGCCATGCCTTGGCCGCACCCGGGCATCGATCAGCCTCCCATTATATCTGTACCAAATGGAAATTCCCCCGATACAGCTATTGAAGGCTTCACGAACTACGTGGTCAAAATATATGTTAAATAATGTGGGAGCCAGAGGACATCCCTGTCGCACCCCAAGGAGTACAGGGAATGGCTCTGACTCCCGGCCACGTAGTTTTACCCGGGTCCACTCACCATCATGAAGGTCCTTAATGATCGTGAGCAGAGGGTCAGGGACTCCGATAGCACGAAGAACAACCCAGAGCCCAGGCCTACTGATGGTATCATAGGCCTTGACCAGGTCAATAAAGCAGAGATGTAAGTCTTGTTGGAATTCCCTACACCTCTGCTGTAGCAGTCGGACAGAAAATATGGCACCTGTGCAGGACCGCCGTTTCCTGAAACTGCATTGGGGCTCTGCAAGCCTCTCCTCAGCGTGCCTAGCAAGGCGATGTTGAATAATCCTTGCCAGGAACTTTCCCGGCACACTGAGTAGTGAGATGCCCCAGTAGTTGTTACAGTCTGTGCAGTCCCCGTTCTTAAAGAGGGGGACTACCAGGGCATCCTTCCAATCCTGCGGAACACGTCCAGTGGTCCAGACTGTTGTTATGATGTCATGTAGGGCAGTCTGTGCACAAAAGCCACCCTCCTTCAGCATTTCGCTTGGGAGATAATCTCTGCCCCATGCCTTTCCTAGTCTCAGACTCTGGATCGCCTTCAGTACTTGCTCAAAAGATGGCACCTCAGCCAGCCACTCACAGGGGGTGACTTCTTCTTCCAATATTTGGAGCATCGCAGCCTGGCTGAGGGATATCCCCTCCCCCAGGACCTCCCAGAAATGCTCAGCAAATCTGCAAACCTGTTCCTGGGGGTCGGAGATTGGATCACCGTTTTTTTCCCCTAATGATGGTAATAGGTGTGGCGCTGCAGGTTACTTTTTTGATGGAGTTAAATAGGGATTTGTGATCGCGGGCCACTGAGGCAGACTCCATCTCCTCAGTAACCCGCGACCACCACCCATCCTTGCAGCGCCTCACGGCTCCCCGAACCTCCGAGCGAAGGCTGCGGTAAGCCTCCTCATTCTCTGACGTGGGATGCTGTAGACGATTAGAGTGGGCCTGTCGCTTTTTCTCAACCATCCTGAACACCTCCTCTGTCAGCCAGGATCTCGGGGTCGGTCTGGACCGCGTACCCAAAGCATCCATTGCAGGTGCATGAGTCACAGTCCTAAACCTCGCCCATTTACCCTCGACATCAGGAAAGGGGGGACGATGCCAACCCCAGCCGCAAGCGATGATGAAATTGTCGCTTGCAACTTTCATCAGCTAGCTGAGACCAGGCCACCTTAGGTTGAAATGGGGTCCTGGGTATACAGTGTACACCCACCACCGGAGTGAAAGAATGGCAGGCGCATCTTACAGATGACTAGTCGATGGTCAGAGGGCAGATCAGCTCCACGATAGATCCTGGTGTCAAGGACATGGGCTCGCATCCGCTGGTCCGTCACTATGTAGTCCAGCAGATGTTCTTGCTTGACCCGGCATGCATCCATGATGTTGTTTGGATGCGCCGATGCCGGAGCAGCGTGTTGGTAATTACGAGCCCATGGGCTGCATAAAAATCTAGCAGCCTCCTACCTTGTTATTGAGATCCACACACACACTCACAGGTCCACACACACACTCACACACTCACTCACACACTCACTCACACACACTCACTCAGATCCGCACACACACAAACACTCACAGACCCACACACAAACACTCACAGAGCCGCACACAAACACACACTCACACAAACTCAGACACAGATACACACTCACAAACACACACACTCACAGATCCGCACACACACGTGCACACACGGATCCGTACACACACTGAACTACATAGCCTTTTTTTCAAACGCGACCTTGCTGACACAATAATAGTTCGACGAAGTGGCTTATCATCATCACGTGTAAATGTATAGTAGCAGCGGAATACTCTAAACTCACGTTCATTCTAAACGTGGAGACCCGGGGATCACGGGGAGAGAGACACGCAAACTCCAACAGGCATCGTCAGGGTCGGGATCGAACCCACGACCTCCTGCATGCGAGGCGAGAGAGTTAACATCTCTTAGCCACCGTAGTAGCGATCGGTGCCGGCTTTCTTGCCCGTGATATCAGCTCACCTCTCGTGTCAAGAATCAGGGCCTCTGTGTCCCTCCACGGCGTTCGCGTAGCAGCAGCAGCAGCGGCAGCAGCAGCAGCGGTGTGATGTTGGGAGACCTTTGCTCCCTGAGCGAGTCGCCTGCTGAATATTAACTCGGGCAAGCCGGGCTGCCAGACTGCCTCTTTTGTCCTCATCCACAAAGGTTAAACCAACCTCGACCCGTTTTTTAACGATCCTCTACAAAGACAAAGATCCCCCGTGCAGCATTTAACAGCGTCAGTTGGCAGCAACGGATGCTGTTAGCGAGCACCAATGAGGGGGCTAGTGGCCAGCACGACGCTCGGCCGCCTTTGTCTCCCCAGTGGCGATGTTTACACACCACACCAGGTACTCATTTGAGGCTGAGTCGACATAGGGGAGGCCCAGGACCGGTTCAGATAATCGTCACTGGTGGTGGCCGTGAACGGGAATCGAACTCGTGTCGCTGGGTTCGTAGCGCAGCGTTGCGCTAACCACTGCACTACCGCTCCCCACACGCTACACAAAAGACAAAGATCCCCCGTATAGCCTGAACAGACTATAGGGGCAAGTGCTGTTAGCGAGCACCTATAAAGGCCGGCACGGCATAAGAGAGGGTGGGTGGCCAGCACCACGCCCGGCCGCCTTTGTCTCCCTCGTGGCGATGTTTACACACCACACCAAGTACTCATTTGAGGCTGAGTCGACCTAGGGGAGTTCCAGGACCGGGACCAGTTCAGATAATCGTCACCGGTGTTGGCCGTGAGCGGGAATCAAAGCTGGTCCCGGCGGGTTCGTAGCGCAGTGCGCTAACCGCAACACCACCGCTCCCCACTGACGCCACACACGCGCACAGACGCACGTGTGACTTCACGTTTGTCAACGCATCCATCAGCACCCCGCCTCCCTCGCACAACCCACAATGTGCTTAGCGTTTGTATTTGTAGTGCGGCATTGAACTTTCGAATGTGTCTGTCTTGTGTGCCTTCAGGCCCAACATGAAACACGTCGGCGAATGATGTACGGATAAGTAAATGGTTTGGCATGAATGCATTCCGAGTATTTTAGACTGCCGCTGTAGAGTATTTTAGACTGCCGCTGTAGAGTATTTTAGACTGCCGCTGTAGAGTATTTTAGACTGCCGCTGTAGAGTATTTTAGACTGCCGCTGTAGAGTATTTTAGACTGCCGCTGTAGAGTATTTTAGACTGCCGCTGTAGAGTATTTTAGACTGCCGCTGTAGAGTATTAGACTGACGCTGTAGAGTATTTTAGACTGCCGCTGTAGAGTATTTTAGACTGACGCTGTAGAGTATTTTAGACTACGGCTGTAGAGTATTTTAGAGTGCCGCTGTAGAGTATTTCACTGCCGCTGTAGAGTATTTTAGACTGACGCTGTAGAGTATTTTAGAGTGCCGCTGTAGAGTATTTTAGACTGACGCTGTAGAGTATTTTAGAGTGCCGCTGTAGAGTATTTTAGACTGCCGCTGTAGAGTATTTCACTGCCGCTGTAGAGTATTTCACTGCCGCTGTAGAGTATTAGACTGACGCTGTAGAGTATTTTAGACTGCCGCTGTAGAGTATTTTAGACTACCGCTGTAGAGTATTTTAGACTGCCGCTGTAGAGTATTAGACTGACGCTGTAGAGTATTTTAGACTGCCGCTGTAGAGTATTTTAGACTGCCGCTGTAGAGTATTTTAGACTGCCGCTGTAGAGTATTTTAGACTGCCGCTGTAGAGTATTTTAGACTGCCGCTGTAGAGTATTTTAGACTACCGCTGTAGAGTATTTTAGACTGCCGCTGTAGAGTATTTTAGACTGCCGCTGTAGAGTATTAGACTGACGCTGTAGAGTATTTTAGACTGCCGCTGTAGAGTATTTTAGACTGCCGCTGTAGAGTATTTTAGACTGCCGCTGTAGAGTATTTTAGACTGCCGCTGTAGAGTATTTTAGACTGCCGCTGTAGAGTATTTTAGACTGCCGCTGTAGAGTATTTTAGACTGCCGCTGTAGAGTATTTTAGACTGCCGCTGTAGAGTATTTTAGACTGCCGCTGTACATTCCCAAGTGAGCCTCTTGCGTCGACCAGTCGTTTGTGGTAGCTGGGTCGCTTCTGAAAGAGCCGTATAGATCAGCAGAGCCTGAGCTGGTAAAACATATAGTTAAGTTGGTATATATTCTTGGTTCTTTCGGTAAAGTCACGTAGAAGGTAAACAATGAAATAATACAAATATAAAACAATAACATTTTCACGACGTTTCGACTACAACACAAGCAATCATCATCAGGTGTGAAAACCACAACAATATTTTTTTTCTTCAAATTTTCTTGTTGTGGTTTTCACACCTGATGATGATTGATTGTGTTGCAGTCGAAACATTGTGAGAATTTTATTGTTTTATATTTGTATTATTTTATTGTTTCCCTTCTACGTGACTTTACCGAAAGAACCAAGAATATGAATCCCTGCAGTCACGAAAGCTTTAAATCAAAATTTAAATAGGTATATTCGAATAGTTTAAATAGTTTATAGTTAAATAGAGGAGGCACTGTAGCGTGTGGCAGTGCCATGCGCTACAGACGATGATGTTGTTTAGATGGTGTCCCCCGTAGTCTCGACGGAACGAGGCAGCGCTCACTCAATGTCATTGACGACACCACACACACATGTCAGAATTTGTATTGATACTGAAGGAGGAATCCGATGAGCCATGAAGCTCTTTGTCACAGATGTTCAATAGGGGCACGGGGTCAGAAAGTTAAAACAAACAACACAACAAACAATCCAGGAGTGCAAAGTGGAGAAAAGATAAAAAAAAATCACTAAAAAATATATACAAATAAAACACATTTTTAAAAATTTTACTAGGTAAAGCCCACTGAGATATTAACTTACTTTTCAGAAGCGACCTGGCCACAAATGATAGCTCAACGAAGTGGCTTATCATGAGACAATTTATAGCAGCTTGATAATCTAAATAATCTAGACGCGTGTTTCTAAATGTGGAGGAGAAAACCCGGAGGACCAGGAGAATAAAAATCCACGCGACCACGGGGAGAGCGAGAGAGCAGGCGCAGGGTCGGCATGGAACCCACGTGCTCCTGCATAGCAGGTCACACGATACAGCTCGCCCCTTGCAACACGCAGCGACTCCGGCACACGCGGTTAATTATCCCCTTGATGAACGCCCTCCAGTCGGGCTCAGTTTGCCTCTCTTGTTGTGCAATCGCGATCCGCCACGCCCGCGAGTGTCTGGCATGTGCACGGTTCAACACACGTACAGACACACATACAGACACACATACATACAGACACACGTACAGACACACATACATACAAACACACATACAGACACACATACATACAGACACTCATACAGACACACATACACACACATACACACGTACAGACACACATACAGACACACATACATACAGATACACGTACAGACACACATATAGACACACATACAGACACACGTACAGACACACATACGTACAGACACACGTACAGACGCACATACACACACATACACACACATACACACACATACACACGTACAGACACACGTACAGACACACATACAGACACACGTACAGACACACATACAGATACACATACATGCAGACACACGTACAGACATACGTACAGACACACATACATACAGACACACATACAAACACATATACAGACACACATACATAAAAACACACATACCGACACACATAACAACAACAACAACAACCGCCATTCGCCACTAAGTGGCGGTGACGTCACCACGACGCTTGTGCCAGGCTATGTGCACCCTGAGGCCACGTGAAGTGTCGAACGCCCGCTGGCAGGAGGTCACGGGGCAGACCCAGGTGCCACGGGTCGACTGACTGAGATGACTGGCTGATGCACCACCTGTGCCCCCTACTGTGCCAACCTGCTGTGCTTTAGCCACCCGGCGCTCCGCTCGCTGTTGTGAGCGTCGCTCCTCCGCCCTCCGTTGTTGTTGGAGGGCGACTGCCTCCAACTGCCCAGTAGCATCCTTCACGAGCCTCCTCCACAGAGGCCGATCTTGACACCGCTGGTACCAGTCATCGGCAAGTCCACTCAGCTCCACGTCCTCCTGTACCACATCACTCCATCTCTTCTCTAGCCCGTGCCGCGCCCGCTTAGCCCCCTCAATCCGGCCAAACAAAAGCTGTTTCGGCATGCGGTGGCTGGGCATGCGGGCTACATGACCCAGCCATCGCAGCCTTGCCTGCCGGAGGAGCTCACCGATGGGACCCTGCCCAGATCTTTCAAGGATGTGTGAGCTCCTCACACAATCCAGTCTGGTTAAACCCAGGATGGATCGTAGACACACGTACAGACATACGCACAGAAACACGTACAGACACACACATACAGACACACATACAGACACATACAGACACATGTACAGACACACATACAGACACACATACAGACACACGTACAGACACACGTACATACAAACACACAAACAGACACACGTACAGACACACATACAGACACACGTACAGACACATATACAGACACACATACAGACACACATACAGACACGCGTACAGACACACGTACAGACACACAAACAGACGCGCGTACAGACACACGTACAGACACACATACAACAACACCAACCGCCATTCACCACTAAGTGGCGGTGACGTCACCACGACGCTTGTGCCAGGCTATGTGCATCCTGAGGCCACGTGAAGTGTCGAACGCCCGCTGGCAGGAGGTCAAGGGGCAGACCAAGGTGCCACGGGTCGACTGACTGAGATGACTGGCTGATGCACCACCTGTGCCCCCTACTGTGCCAACCTGCTGTGCTTTAGCCACCCGGCGCTCCGCTCGTTGTTGTGAGCGTCGCTCCTCCGCCCTCCGATGTTGTTGGAGGGCGACTACCTCCAACTGCCCAGTGGCGTCCTTCACGAGCCTCCTCCACAGAGGCCGATCTTGACACCGCTGGTCCCAGTCATCGATAAGTTCACTCAGCTTCACGTTCTCCTGTACCACATCACTCCATCTCTTCTCTAGCCCGTGCCGCGCCCGTTTAGCCCCCTCAATCCGGCCGAACAAAAGCTGCTTTGGCATGCGGTGGCTGGGCATGTGGGCTACAAGACCCAGCCATCGCAGCCTTGCCCACCGGAGGAGCTCACCGATGGGACCCTGCCAAGATCTTTCAAGGATTTCTGAGCTCCTCACACAATCCAGTCTGGTTAAACCCAGGATAGATCGTAGGCAGGCCAGCCTAAATGCTCCAACCGGCGAATATGTTCCATTAGGGGGGGTCCACGCCTCGCAAGCGTAGAGAAGGGA